TTTAATGAAGAAACATTATATTGATAACATTCATATTTGAAAACTTTCTGTTGTGAATAGTGAAGTTTAAAATAAAAAACGCGTCAATATAAAAAAAATAAGTAATTAATAAATATAATCCTGACCTCACTGAACTGCATACATAATTGCTGTTCTCATAAAACACTTGTGTATTGTGTAAACAAGTGTTGCATGAATAAATAGAGTTGCTCCCGTCAATTTTTTCAGCTGAACCGACACAAAAGAGGTGATTTCGGTCGTCACTAGGAGACATCGACTGTTGCCTGCCGATGTCCGAGCAGCACTCTAAGCCAGTGCCATCGTGCGTGCTGCTCGCACGACCACAAAAACGCACGGTCACGTGGCCCCGGCCATTAACTGGCGACCAACTGTAAATACTAGGCCCAACCGCGACAATATGACAGAATGCGTGCACATCTCAGACATCACCTCACCTCGCCGAACCGGTCCGCTCTATATTTCGACACCGAGCAAATACCTGCCTACTCGTGTTCCTATGACATATCAAATACATGACATAGCACGTAATTCTATGCCGACATATTTATGCACACATTTTTTACGGACAAATATTTGTCGACACGTTTCGTGGCTCGCGTGCGTGTTCTATTTTTAACTGTTTATAATTTGTAGTGTATTATTCGCCTTCCCGCTCAGGGCCGCGGGCGCGGGTACGGGAAGGGCGCGGGGCGGGGCGCGGGCGGCTACCTTCGTCCTTCAGTTGTCGCGCGTTGCCGGGCGGGCTATTTTTAGCTGCGGGGGCGGCGGGCGCGCGGGGCCGCTTTGTGTTGATTCTAGCTTTGTTCTGTTTGCATTTTAGTGCTATTCGTAAAACACCTACGCCATCGATGCTGACCGTGAGTAGTCGACGTATCGAAGGTACTTTTTTTCCAAACTCGTGACCGCGCCTCTGATCCGTCACCGAATGGTAATTTACAGCAATGTATGCGGTGTGTTAACCATTTGTGACCTTCGAAACCGGTTGTCTTAAACTGTATCACGTGTTAGGCAATTAAATTAATATTGCTTTAGTCGTTTATTATTAATTATCACAATTTTATTTAAATTTTAGATTTGAAAACCCGGATAAGGTACACTGGTATTATTGATGACTAGCTTTTGCCCGCGGCTTCACCCGCGTGAAATTTAGTTTGTCTGTGACAAACTAAATTTCACGCGGGTCAATCGTCATAAATTATAACCTATATGTTATTCTGGGTTATAAACAATAATACTATAAAGTTTTATCAAAATCCGTTCAGTAGTTTTTGCGTGAAAGAGTAACAAACATCCAGACGTCCTGACATCCAAACTTTCGCATTTATAATATTAGTAGGATTAAGTTATTATTATAGTAAGGGTCCAATTAATTTTGTTTTCATAAAGTACTTAGTTATAGAACTTAAAAGTGTTAGTACAAGCAAAAAAAACTAAAAATAGAATTACATTGTCGTTTCTTATTATTTATTACATTTTATTATATTTTTAACTAGCTTTCCGCCCGCGGCTTCGCCCGCGTGGAATTTTGTCTGTCACAGAAAAACTTTATCGCGCGCGTCCCTGTTTCAAAAACCGGGATAAAAACTATCCTATGTTCTTTCCCGGGACTCAAACTGTCTCTATGCCAAATTTCATCAAAATCGGTTGCGAGGTTTAAGCGGGAAAGCGTAACAGACAGACAGACAGACAGACAGACAGAGTTACTTTCGCATTTATAATATTAGTTGGGATTTGAAATCCCGGTTAAAGTACAGTATTATTGATGATTAAATTACAATGATATATGGTAAGGGTCCAATTGACCTTATTTTATTAGAAGTATACAAGTATTTTTTATTGCTAAAAAAATGTGTTCATAATATTTAAATTTACCTAAGTCCCTCCCAACTCTAGGCTGCAAGCGCGGGGCTCGTTCGTAGTTCGTAGCCGTGCTACGCGCTACGCGTCCCGTGCAGCCTCGTAGCGCGCTCCCGATTTCGTAGTATAGATAGAGTCTACGATTCTACAGATGTTGTGTTAATCGTAATTCTTTCAGCTAATTTATGCAATGTTGTGTACTTATTTATTATTCTGTGATGTTCATGTTGTGTGCAAGGATATTTCAATACATTTTTGTTATTGACAAATATTTTTTGCATAAATCACAAAGCGTTTGTTTTTCATTCCACTTGGCACCAACGCTATTGTTCGCCAAAGTAAAAGTAGTAACTAAAAGAACTTAAATTGATGTTTGATTGCTTGAGTATCTCATTATCATTTTATAATTGTAATCAAATTTAATATTTCAAAAGGGATTGTACGATCTGACTAGTCCAGAACCGGATTGTTAAACGCGGACGTCAAATGGAAGTCTCAGGATAGAGCCGTCAAAGAGCACTAAAGCTGTCATGAACTGTCACCAGAGCACATTGATGGCTGTCACCGGACCGGATATAGAGACGTCAGTCAGCGTCCGATTGGGCCCAAGTCTAATTACAACGCTTCAGATCCGTCACGAGCCTGCATTATCTATTGGATGAGAAGCGTTTGCCTTGTCCCTAAGTGGGTCACCTCATATGCGATTTCGACCTATTTATAGCTGACTAGCCTTTGACCTAAGTGGTTCATGTATATTTCAGATCTGTCATAGACTGCACAAGGTTTTGACTGCACAACAGTTTAAGTCTAGATTCATTTTTATAATTCACGAAAAATCAAGTTACATAGATTGCCCCCTTGGCGAATATTAGATTGTAAACGACTTTTAATGCAAAATCTACCTATACATTTACCAAAAGAGGTATCGCTATGGTTCTATTAATATAAATGGTACATAGACTGTTTGTTGTCAACAAATACGATTGTTTCGTCTACAATTTATGGATAGATAAACCCACGCAATTGAGTCGCACGTGCTGTAAAGTTTACGCAGAAATCCACCGGCGCGTCAAACGTATCGATCCGGGGACGTCTCTAGGGCATCTTGGGCCTTATTGTATGCGGGGGCCCGCGCAGCGATGATAGCAACAGAACCAAGGACGTCCCGACCCGGGCGCCACCAGCCCGTCTAAATATAGACGCGGCCAAAAATAAACTGTCGCACCCCTCCCCCGCACCGCCCCGCCGCGCGCCCCCAACCCCTCCCAATCCAGTGCTGCCCCCCGACCTACATTTTAAGGGGGCTGAGATGAGGATCTCAATCCCTGAACACGGATCCAACTAAAAAGCCAGCAACAGGTTACCTGATATGAAATGCTAATGATAAATTATGAAAGGTTCGGCTTTTAGCAAAAGGTTCAATCTTCGCTGTACGCATCGTAGGTTGTAATAAAATCTTTCTTTTGGCAATTCTTGGCCTTTGATTTGATAATTAACTACAATGGCTATTCCTATTGTCTATTTCAATACTTAATACTTTAGGTAGGTCTGAATAATACTTAATTGTATTTCCTTTGAGTGTTTAATGATTTGCGATTATTGCCACTGAATTATAGCTGTAAAACAACCGCCATTTTAAACTCAAACCATACATTTTAACCCTGTACTTAGTAGTCATAAAACACTCATAAAGCAAGCAACACACGGCAACAATTCCCAGAACAGTTAGTGCGACAGTTGCGCATGAAGCACTGGGACCTCCCCTCTTCCTAGCACGGCCCAGCCGATCCAGGTCACAGGGGCAATGCAGATCTATCAAGAGATTTATCCATATAAAGTTAAAATGAGGACTCGGAACGGAATACAATTTATAACCAACTCACACGAATTACGTTACCTCCATATTTGGTACATTCGACTTTGAACCCGGCGTTTTGTACTTAGAATGTATTAATAACTCTTAATAACGCGTTATACTCATAAAACCCATTTAACCAGACTATTATCGCAAACACGTGATGTGTTGCCTACATCCGTCGCTGAATTTTTTATGTAAATGAGACTGTTTCAATAATTCGAACTTGTTTTCGGCACAATTGAATCCCAATGGCGTGGAAAATATGTGTACAATGTTGACATGGTGTGTTAAAGAAGCAAAAAGCCTCAGAGCGAGACAAATGAGGTGTTTGTTGATCCTTGGCGTTTGGCAACGACCTATTCTGGCTGGAAATGTCAGTTAGATATACATCGTTGAAATGTCCTTTATTGTTATGTATTTTAAATACACATAGTACCTGTGATAGTACTAATGACTGAGCTACCAGTAGAATTCTATCGAATAACAAGACACAAAAACCTTCAATGACACTAAAATGTATATGTAAAAGTAAGCAGTATTCAGTATAGAGTGCTACTGACGTTAATTCGTTTTTTTTACATAAACAAAAGCAAACAAAATAAACTATTTTTTTAGCCTGTACACTGTACAGTGACCCGGATAATGTTCTCTATCGTCGTTGTGACTTTGACAAGTAGGTACATAAGCTAAAGTCATTGCCTTGCTTACCTAATACCTCCTCACAGTCCTCACCGACCAAAAATATTAGTCCGTCATTTTTGGAAAAACAATGTTACCTTGATAGGTACAATTCTGTATTTTTCTTTCAATCATTAGAAAAAGAATCGATAAGATTGATCTTTAATACATAATAAAACAAGTCATAAGTTCCTGATGATGAAAATCTTTTATTCTGCTGTTATACTTTCATTCTTGGGCTACTAATTGCACATTTTTCCGAGTCATGGACTTTGGACCATGGACATGGACATTGATAGACATTATAAACAGCACAATCATGAGCTTAGTAATGTTCTAGGGCAGTGGTTCTTAACCTTTAAGTCATAAGAGACCATTTTACCAAATTTCCGTCTTGTCAGGGACCGCCTCATAATCGGTCAAAACCAGTTTTACTGCAAAAATCAGTTAAAAGTGGTTTTAACCAAGGTGTGCAAGTGCTCTTCGTGGACCACTTGGAATGTCTTCAGGGACCACCAGTGGTCCGCAGACCACCGGTTAAGAACCACTGTTCTCGGGTGTATTAAGAATGTTGTTGTTTTTCCAGAAATGGCCCACGAGGGCGGCGGGTCGGAGGGCTCCCCGCAGCACACGCCGTCGCCCCCGCACCCCGCGCGCCTGCCCCTGGCCGACTCCAGCTTCCACCACCAGATCATGCAGGTGAGCAGATGCATCCAGTCTAAAGTTTATGGAACGAACAGCTCCTTAAGGTCAGCTCACAACTGAGTAACTGCAAACAAACATTTAAGATCAGAAGTGTAAAACAATCTTAAGACTATAAAAAAATCCCCCGCAAGTAAAACCAGAAGGATGTGGTTTTACTATAGGTAAAGTCCAATTCATTCGGACTATGAAATTGGTCAATTTACTTTCACACTATTTGTATTTGTCGGCCGTTTGGTGTAGTGGTTCAGAATGGACTACTATGCCGAGAGGTCCCGGGTTCGATTCCCGGCCGGGCAGAAATTGAAATGATGAATTTTAATATCTGTGACGGGTCTGGGTGTGACTATGTATAATATTTATGTATTTAAAAATAAAAATAAAAAAGTATATAACTAGTATATCCGTTAAGCTAGCACCCATAACACAAGCATTAAGTTGCTTACTTTGGGGCTAGCTGGCGCTGTGTGTGAAATTGTCCAAAGATTTATTATTATTATTATTTGGGTTAAGATCCCAAATACAAATAGTGCACTTATTATTACTGTGTAAAGCACTTTGTCCATTTAGTGAAAGCTGAATACTTGAAGCTAATGAGCGCTCGTCAAGCGCGGCGTGGCCGGCCACGGAGTTCCCGTGACCTTTTCTCGGAATATTGCACAAACGCGACTCCATCCATCTTGTTTAAACTCGGCCGCAGCGTATTTTTAAAAAGTTCCTGCGCGCCGATATAAATAAACCGATATAAAAACAAGTATATCGCTCCACGCAGCCCGTCTGCACACTATATTTACATGCGTTCCGATGTAATACACGCTTTAATTTTAGACCGAATGTTGATCGCGGCCTCTCGGACTCTCGACGTTGCGAATTCAAAACATTCGAGCTATTAGTGTTTACCGGTGATAATATCAAGTATCCGGCTAGAAGCGGTTATAAATAATTCCGAATACACGTGTTTCGAGAGGAACTCCCACGCATTAATTGAATACGGATATAGTACAAGAAACAGCGGTGGCATCGTACGAGAGCAGCAAGCACGCNAGCAAGCCGGGCTCCCAGGAATGCCGGCAGGTCCTCCGCCCGCTGCAGGCCCCACGGGACCCCCGCCCACGGCGCGCGCGCAAAACATCCGTCCGCGGGCTATTCGCGGCACGCACGCATTCCGACGTCCGCCATTTTTTTACCGAACCAAAATAATGTCTGCGACGCCAAAAATATGCGCAGACGCTTATACTGCAACCGCTTCTTTTATTTTATACTTTTTATTAAAGCTTCGTCGCAATTTCGGTTCGGTGTACTTCGCTCATTCATTGTTCCAAAACACGTACATTGAACAAAATTAAATCCAAATTGTTTTCTCGATCTTGAGTGTTGTTTGCATGTTTCAAAATTTCATTTAGGCAACTTAAAATCTGATTAAAAATATTTATAAATCAACTCAATGCTGATATTTCAACAACTCGTTAATCCTGCCAATATTTTTGATCAGATTTCTAGACGCTGAGGTCTTGCCCTAACATTTCCGATGCAAGGAGTGTTGAATGGGCTATGAGTACATATATTTCCTCTCTCCTTGTCAGAGTCAGAGCCCGAGAAAGAACCATATCGCAGAGAGAGCGAAACAAACCTTAGAGAATAATTTCCTGCTGCAAGTGAGTCCAAATTATAATACTTGTGTTGTGTGTCGCATTCAACCAGTCCTGATTTGTGTGCTAATGGCAATGAACACCAGACCTAGATCTATGAGTCCTGTGTGTGAAATGGTACATCTAGGTTAAACATTGCATAGCGTTTGATGTGAAATTCACACTTTAAAGTTGTATGGTAGTTGAATATGACACTGTTTGATAATTTTAAATAACCTGTAATTATTATACCTTTGTGTGTTAAATTGCATTGAATAGATGAGGTAAACGTTAGGTGTAATAGACATCACGAAATAGCTTTGCGAATAATGACACCATACACGTCATCACAGGTAATGGTCTAATTTCATTATGTTAAAAATAAATCGCTATTGGCATCTTAAGATTCGTAGCATGAATAGTAACTAAAATTACGCAGTTAATCATGACATAAGTAATGCTTTCAAAATTATCCAGGTTGATGGAGATGTCTCTCTCTCACGCTAAGATATTTCGATTATGATGTTACACCTTACGAAATCTAACACATTACAATAAAATATTCATGCTACGAGCACAAACATACTTGCACGATAACCATAGTAGTGAGCAGCAAAATTAGTCTAACCAAATTAATATTTTTATGTGGCATTATTATACACCGAAAAACCATACGCAACCCAGCAATGTGGTGGAGTTTTACGCTGTTTACTACTGTGTCGATCAGAACTGATTGGTATACGGTGTCACCCACAACCATTCACTGTCGCCGCAGACTTCTGATTGTTCGTATCCAGTAACTCGATCCTCGCCTGTTCCAGCTGAAGAAGCAGCAGCAGCTCCAGCAGGAGATCCTGCTGCAGCACTTCCAGCAGCAGAGCCAGAAGCTGGCTCAGGAGCACGAGCAGCAGCTTAGGCATCACTTAAAGGTCGGCTTGTTGCAAGTAAAAATTCTTTCATGATAGTGTTCCTATATTTCTACCTCTTATTCTCAAAAGCTTAAACAATAATACTATATTAAATTGTTTCTTTCTAGTTAAGTGAAGTAGATATTTGTTATAGAATTCACTAGGTGAAATGCTATTAAGAATAAGAAGGTAGGTAAATGTGTATAGTGTGTATTACTTTAGATTGGAGTCATAATATGCCAGAATTAATGTTTACACATCTGCATCTGCTAATGATAGTAACTATGGATACCCTTATTTTACCTAATTAGTTTTGAGGCATATGTTTTCAACCTAATGTGATGCACATTTGTAAATATTGCTCCAATATTTCCCTTTAGAAACTTTATTTAACTGTTTACGTTAAGAATTTCAACAACTAGAAGCGTCCTTCGAATTATTTTCCCTTTAAAATTAGTATAACAATAAAAAGCAGTGCCTTGATAATGAAATAGACTTCTGTTAATAGTATCGGCCATAAATATCGCGTTTTCTCGCACGTGATCACCATGAGAACGGCCATGCCAAATCGCGGGCGAAAATACCGCGATTGTTTTAATACGAGGAACCACTCGCCGCTAATTGCGGACCATTGGCCAGCGCCCGACGTGCTGATCGCCGCAATACATTTGATTTGGGATTTGTAAGACAGATACAAAACACTATTGTTATCCACTATTTGAATTAATTCTTCAATTTTACACGGAATACATAATTATTCTTTTTCTGGCAACTCTTCATGTAGAGAGAGATAACTGTCAACTAAGAGAGTTATTTTAAAACTTGGAATCTAATTTAAAAGGGATATGCAAAGAAGCACACATACGCGGTCCAATATTGGACCAAACGCGATGTCACGCTAAGAAGCTGGCTGGAATCCCTACCGTTGGCGCAAACTCTGGCGTCGCCGTGTCACTTGGGCCACGATATAAATAGCCATGAATGGTGGCCGGGCCATTTGTAATTACATCATTCATACTCGCCCATTACGTGTGCCTAACTTCGTTAACCGAATCAAGGCGGCACGCAAATTAAACACCACATTTGTTTAAACTCCCCTCAGGATTCATGCTCGGTGTTGTCATCCTTATATTCTCAATTATTTTCATTAGTATCGACCATAACGTAACACTCAAAAATACCTCGGGTTGGTCAAGATTCACCGTCCAAATTCAGTTTTAGATAATTCATGGAATTATGCGGAAAATGTGGATTGAAGCCAATAACATGTTTGATCGTATTTTGCGGATACTTCTGCTCCTGAGTCAACGCGGCATCCGTGACGCACCTACAAATTACTGCGCGTTACTCACCGTCTTAATGATTTTGATATCAAATCAAATTCGGAATACAATAACAAACGCTCGTATCGTTTGGGTCTTTGCCATCTGTGTTACATCGCCGACCTAATTATCGCGTGGATTCCATTCAGAAGCTTTTTTCTTTGCATTTTTTAAATTGGTTCTTTCTTAAGGTGGTTACGTGCTCCGGCAGTTACACATCAGGCATTAAAAGTAAATACAATCGGACACTTACGACCGAATACTGAAACGATGCTCAAAGTTTACAGACTAATGAAACAATATTTTTTGCCATCGTAGGATTTGTTTCTTCTAAGTTCACAAAATTTAATCTTGTAGACGTGTCAACTTCGAATATCGTTCCACTATTCGTGCGCAAGTCCTTATGGGATCCTCACTGTAGGTGTTGAGTATGTTTGGGGCGCAGCTTCACCCCGATGATCTGAAGTGCAAGGTAACCCTCCAGATGTGGGAACAGCAGAAGGCGCTGGAGGAGGCGGCGCTGCGGGAGGCGAGGGAGGCGCGCGAGGCGCTGGAGGCGCGCGAAAGGCACGAGCGCGACCGCGCCGAGCTGCTGCGCAAGAAGGACAAGCTAGAGCCCAGCGCCAACGCCTCCTCGCAGGTCAAGCAGAAGCTGCAGGTGAGCACCAACCCCACACAAACTATTAAGGTAAGTATAGACTAGAGCAGGATCCCGATTACGCTAAAAAATTTCATCTTCAACATGCCCGGACGACGAACGAACATCAGCCCCCCTAGACAAAACGCACTTTTTGATCGAATCGAAAATCGAATCCGTCAAAACTCCATACAAAAAAGGGGCTTTTCGACCACTTTTCGACTGGTTTGCGATTATAATTTGCACTTTGTCTAGACCCACTGCTGTTTTGACAAATCCGTATCGCGGTGTCGTTTTGACAGCTAGTTGAAACGAAGCATAGACGTAAACGTAAAGCTAAATATCTCATGTGACAATGAAAATACTAGGAAGTTACGTCCATTACCGTGATAACGAATTTGCACCTCAGCTGGAATGAAAAACGGAGCGCAACTGGAGAAGAAGCGCGTATGTATTGGAGACGTTAAAAATTAGCGTAATCGGGGCACAGTTCTATGTAATGGAACATTCTTGCAAACAGGTAAAATGTATGACGTTTGGTTTGTGATATGGTGACATTTAGACATTTCATAGACCGACTCGTTGTTCTGTTACAGTAAATGCTCTAGTCTATACTCACCTTAAGAACAGCATCTATTACAAGCATGACGTGCCGTCGTTTGTACGTAGAAACGTGTCCACATCTGTGTAAGATTAATGCAGCTGCTAAAATTGATAATGATTTTTCGATTCGGAAATTCGATGGGTCTCTTTAGACAAAGTAACATTGAGGACAGATTCAGTTTCAATCTTGAACGTAAACAAAGTCATTGTCGTCATTGACCATAAACACGTCGATCTTTAAACTTCGAAATCCAAATAAATAATACTGCAATACCTGACCTCAAGTGTGGACACGATAGTAAAATAGTAATCTAGTAACATAGTGGACCTAAAGCAATCAAGTTAGAGGGATACATGTCGAACTCACATGATGACCACCGTTGAAGACAGGATCCTCTCGGCTTGTACAGTGGTCGGGCCGATTGCAACAACGTTATCGGTGATTTTATTTGCATTTCAGGAGTTCCTCAAGAAAAAACAGGCGGCCGCTAACGCTAACGGCACGGTCCCCGGGGGGTCGCCTTACAGGAATTGGTAAGAAGTGGCAATGGCATGCGTGTGCTGATGTTTGCTGTCGTGACGTGGACGTAGTTGTATTTCTTACCTTACTTGTCTGTGGATAGATATAAACAATGAATGAACCATTTCAGATAAGATTTGGCATGGTTACGTATCTGCTCAAAGATATGAGTATCCGAAATGCTGTTTTTGTTTTTTGAATCAAAAGAATTTCATTTATTTATTTGCTTGGAACTTTCCATTAACGCATAAATGTATTGCTAATCAAAAGTAAAAACCGGCATCACTGATATAGCCGTGCTTATCTTATGTGACGATAATATCTTGTCAAACTTAATTGCCATCTATAATTAACCATTATTGATTAACAAGTGACGTGATTCTTAATTGCAGTAAACGTCATTCATCGACTGATGATAATGCAATGAAAATCTCGACGATAAATCAACTTAGCCACACCCTAAAATCTTCTGTATATGACGGTGGACATTGAACATTACCTACTGTTATAAAAACTGAATTAGGGATCGGGTCAAAGTTTATATGCAACTATCCACGTTTTTCAAATGGTTTGAAAATAAAGTACCTATAGAAAAGCCGGCTATTCGTGTCTAATTTTGAATCTTCGTTTTTTAAACTTTGTTTATGCAATCATTTGTAAATAGCGTCCGGTCCTTGCCTTAGTCCTCTCATACACCCAATCAGTTCCCACAGCTATTAACCGCGTGTTTCTCGCGTAGGGGCATAGTGAAGTCGTCGTCGGGCGAGTCGATCACGTCGACGGGCGCAACGGCGACGGCGCACCCGTACCGGCTGGCGGCGCCGTTACCGCTGGCGCTGAACGCCGCGCCGCCGCAGCCCTCGCCCAGCGACTACCCGCTGAGGAAGACCGGTGAGTCACTTACCTGCTGGTTGGAGGGTAGATGTGACGTGCCATCTGTGAGGGTCACTAGTTTTAAAGTGTCTTGTTGAAGGCTAAAAGGACATTTGATGGGGTTTGAGGGTGTTTTTTTACAAGCCCTATACGACACACTCGATGTCCAAGTTACGGCCAGTATTTGTGATGTGATTCGTATATTAAGAGCGTTGTCACATTTTTCATGCAGAAATCGAGAATTTGGCAGATTTCGAAATGATTTTAGTCATATAATTTATTGTTATAGCTTCTTTTGACTTATATCATCGTAATTATCATACGTTTTTACGGAATGTCTATTGACAAAATCTCGTTCAAATTGGATTTTTGCCTACGAAAACAGCGAATTTCGAAAGCCCGATTTCCAGGTAACTCGCGANCACTTCAATACACACAACTTCAAAAGAGTGTGACAATACCGCGTCCGTTCAAGTCTGATTAGAACCATGAGTGCACCAGATTCACTCCCGAAGATATCGGAACGATAAACGTCACCATCTTATTCACGTATTTCTAATATTCGGTTTGGCCGAAGCTTCGGCTGGTTTTTGGCCGAAAACGAAAATATGGCCGAATGTCCATTTTTTGGCCGAAAATGGCCGAAAACGAAAACGAAAACGAATATTCGGTCGGTCACTAGTTATGGTACCATTAAGCTGGTCTGATGATGGAGTCAGGAGGTGGCCATAGGAATTCCTAAACGAAACGGTGGAAACTTATCGACTTTGGGTTTGTTGGATTTGTCTTTTCGAGCACTTTGGTGCTAAATTGCATTGTAATTGAATCAAGGCTCTGAGATTGAGATAATATAGACTAAGAGCTGGTGAACGCCAGACCTACGACATTTTATAAAAGCTAAAAGTTTGTCAGGGTATGCTCCTAATATAGGTTAGAATGTTGGTGGATTATGAAGTTTGGATCATCGTTGCTTTGGCAGCTATCCTGAAAAAACTGTGTGGCAAGGAGTTGGAACTGTCAAAACTGTTTGAAACTGCTGATGTCGAAACAACTTCTAATCATTGCCCAAATATTAGAAGTAGTTTCCTCATCAGCAAGACAGTTTTAACAGTTCCAACTCCTTGCCAGACAGTTTTTTTAGGATAGCTGCTAAAGCCACGATGACCGAATCATTATGATTCACCAACATTCTATCCTATATTAGGAGCATACGCTAAAAAAACTTTTAGCTTTTATAAAATGATGTAGGTCTGGCGTTCACTAGCTCTTAGTCTACTACTAAAAAGTGTAAAATTAAATTATTAAAATACTTTTTTAAAAACAAGCTTTTATTCTGAAATGCAGTTGTTACTAAAACGAAAAAAAAAAACCGGCCAAGTGCGTATCGGACACACGCACAAAGGGTTCCGTACCATTGATTTATGATTTTTTTTTTATTTAAGTTATTTGTATGAAGGATTACGCGGTAATAAGCGGTTTACGATTTACGAGGTATTAAAAAAAACTACTTACTAGATCTCGTTCAAAACAATTTTCGTTGGTAGTTTTTATAGTATTAATGTACATCATTTATGTTTTTTTAGATTTTTCATTTTCTTATTTTAGAAGTTAGAGGGGGGGACCAACTTTTTTCCACTTTGGAAGCGTCTGTCACGCAAACTATTCGGTTTAGAAAAAAAATATTTTAGAAACCTCGATATCATTTTTGAAGACCTATCCATAGANTCGTATAATAAATAAAAATCACTACGCGAAAAGATGCATTGCTGAATTTGCTATGACAAATAAATCAAACCGCAGGGCAATTATTCTTTGTATGTCCATCAAAATGTTATAATTGTCCTCTAATGAGCGATCACATAGACTAAATACTTGCTCATATTTGTCACAATTACCGTTGTTTACCCCAAGCGGTTTGTTACTTAAAACCACACCTTTGTGCCTCGCAATAAGACACATTTTCCATGTCGCCTGCAGACGACACGTGTAGTCGGTGTGTGCTCAGTGACGTCCATATTTATAATACTGCTCCTAAATGCATATTTGTGTGTAATTAGTGATTAGAAAACATACTAATATTAAATTTTGTAAATTAGCATAACATTTTAAAATAATAAAAGTATGGTTTTGTTGATAAAGTCTTAAATATGTTTAGTTAAATCAACATTACGTAGTTAAAAATATAAATATTAATAATAACAGCAACCGTATTGTATTCAATGTAATAACTGCACGCTCGAAAACTCATAAACAATCAAATCCCCTAATTTATCGTATTAGAAGAGTCTGTTATTTGGCTCTGGATCAGTGGCCCTGTAAAAGGGCTTCTGTATTTTCGGCTGTATCGCCTCTATCCGTTTTTGGCGCTCTCTTCCATGAGCAAGAACCATTAAAGGCTTCGACTCTATGTAACTATGAAAACAAAAGCTGATTTGACCAAGATTCCAAAAGATGCATGTAACTTGAGGCTATAACGTCGAGTACCTTTGATTGTTTACGAGTGTGCGGCAGCAGCCTAACCGGCATGGCGTGTTGACGTGTGTGTGCACTAACAGCGTCGGAGCCGAACATGCTGAAGGTGCGGCTGAAGGCCCGCGTCATCGAGCGCCGCGCCTCGCCGCTCGCGCGCCGCCCGCTCAAGCCGCGCGTCAAGCACCGCAGTGAGTATCCAACAGCGAGTTACTACGAGTTAACGCGACTTGCCGCGAGTTACTCCCAGCTACCGCGACTTGCTGCGAGTTACTCCCAGCTACCGCGACTTACCGCCAATCGCAGGTGTCATCGAGCAGCGGCCACTATCCTCTCAGATTGTGGTCAAAAGTGGAACTACTGAATGACAATTGCTGAGTACCGCGCCCGCGATACCGAGCATCTCGCATGTCCGCCAAGCGGCGCGACTATCCTCTCGAATTGCGGCCGAAAGTGGAACTAACACTATGGTAGTTGCAACCAAACTATGCTGCATCAAACAAACTGATAATATGGCTATCTAATGTTGGTCTAAGGACTTTTTTGTTGTACGTTAGTTCCATTTTTCGCCACATTCTGAGGAGCATACTAACGCGATAAAATTATATTAATTCTTTGGATTTAACAAGACTGAATGGGCATCAGCTTAGGGTAATTGGTAGGAAGAGGTGGATATTATCATTTGCTGACAATACCTCAATGCCTCAGATTGAAACCCATTGCCTTCAGCTGTCAATTCATATTCATGACAGCGATATAATGTTAGACTTCATGACACAACAAGTAATGCAACATACATGTGCCAATCTTAAGCGATGGCACATAGTACGAATGATTGTACCATATTACAGGAGTACTTGTATGTAGTTATTTGTGGGTAATGGAGCAAAATGAAAATTACATTACGTGGCACAATAAGCATGATTTTTGTGCCTAAAAAGTAAAGTATGTTTGTATTTGTCTATAGTATGAAAATTAATTATGCATGCAATAAAATAAAGTGATCGTGAATTTTATTGAATCAAGTGGTTACTAACTTTCGATACGACACGACATTGCAGGTTTGCATGAACTATATTGTTCTATTCTTCTTTTCTAGAGTGGGTTGTAACAATAGTTGTCATATTTTATACATTTAATAAATGTCGCAAGTCAAAATCACGCTCAATCGAAAATTTTGCAACAACGTCGATAGGAACTCTCGTTCTCGTTCAGCCGAAAGACGTCCACTGCTGGACAAAGGCCTCCCCCAAGGATTTCCACAAAGACCGGTCCTGTGCCGCTCGCATCCAGGCACCTCCCGCGACCTTCACCAGATCGTCGGTCCACCTAGTGGGAGGCCTGCCCACGTTACGTCTTCCGGTTCGTGTATAGGAACTAATATTTTGTATTCTGGAAGTTTCGAATCATGGTGTCAACGATTTATAAGATGTCAGGCCTTCATTGGTTGGGTTTTTGTGGCGGTCAAGCTGTAGATCCTGGCTACACAGGCGTTGCAGTAGTGGGAATAGTCCCGTAAGATGTCAAGCTGTATCACCAGCGCATTGACACTGGTTTCGGTTGCAGACTGCGACGGCACGGGATCTCCGCGCGGGTCGCCGCCGGGCGTAGCGCCGCCCATCCGCGAGGAGGACGAGTGCGGGCGCGCGGCCGAGCTGCTGTTCTCGTCGCCGTCCATGCCCAACATCTCGCTGGGCCGCCCGCACCTGCCGCACGCGCACCTGCCGCACCCGCCGCACCCGCCGCATCCGCCGCACGCCGCGCATCCCACGCCAGCGCAGGTGCGTAACTATAGTCTGGTCTGCGAGCACGTAGAATTTTGTCCAATGACCCCAAGCTACCCATCCTTATCGCTCGCGCGTAATTATATTGCATTATTGCTGTCGCGACTGTGCGACGGGCGCCCGCAGTGAGTGTGCGAGCGCCCGCAGTGAGTGTGCGAGCGCGACAGCAACATAATTCGCGCGAGTAGCTTGGGGTCATTGGACAAAATTCTACGTGCTCGCAGATCAGACTATACCTTATAGATCAAGGCTCTGGCCCAATAGATTTTCCAGATGAGCGTTTCTTAGACTGTGGCGACGCCGGGCCACAGCTTTTTGAAAATCAGAGCAAAAGCAAAACTATACTAAATTCATAAGGCCATTTATAACACCGCCCGCCGGTTGACTCGCTGGCGGGAAAATTCAAATGCCTGGGCGGAAGTGGCCCTTCCGCGTGCCTGGGTTTGGCCAGCCTCTTTATAAACGTAACCTCCCTCGTTCTTTGGAGACGCATGATACGGAAGGCCGACCCCAAATAAAATAGGATAGGGCCAGGCGAAAAAGATCTCGTTCCTTGGGGATTCAGAAGTAAGAACACCTTGTGCTCGGGGCCATTGTTGCATAGTTAAGTCTACTTCTCGTCACAGAACCTTACTACAGCACCACCTCCAGACGTAAAGAAATTGCTAATCCCGCAATGAGTTATGCTCAAAACTTTTATGACTTGAAGCGATTTTAGCAGTCTTTATTTTCCAGCTTTTGATATAGCGTTCTGTAATGACTGTAATTCCGGAATAACTGTAATCATTAAACTATGTCTATCTTAGAGCAAACGGAAGAAAAATATATCAGTAAATAAATTGTATTTTTCTATATGAAATTGAAATGTGCTGTGTGAAATTGTCCAAAGATTATTTATTTATTATTTATTATACCTCAGGTGTCAGTATCCCTCCCGCCCGTGTCAGAGGCGGAGGCGTTTTGCCCAACGGTGGGCGTGGGCGTGGGCGGCGTAGGCGTCGGCGTAGGCGCGCGGCTCATCAAACGGCCCCTCGGCCGCACACACTCGGCGCCGCTGCCGCTGGGCGACCCGGCGCTGCAGCCGCCCGTAGCACACCATTACCTCAGGGACCAGATACGAAAAACGGTGAGTTAGTCCTACATTATAATACTAGATGGCGCTGTGCTTATTTAACTCGCGGTATCATTTGATTTTTTCCAATTAAATAGGTAGCAAAGTGGTGTTGTACTTATTACCTTTTTAAACAAGCACCTATTGATTAATTTTTGTATGCGGTCTTGCCGACTTGAGTAAGACCGTAATAACTTTAATCATTATACAGTTGGTTGGTATAGTGCGGTCCAGGGGTGAAGCTATCGGCACGGTAATATTATCTATACAGTATTCCAACTCGGCCATATTTTTGAAATAAATGTCTACAGCCGAGCGGTACGTCACCCTATGACAACATGTGATATGATGGGGCTGCCCACCTGCAGACCCTATTTTCACTACATCTGCCTACTTAGAATTTCTATCTAGTTTTGTGAGTGTATTTTGTGATTGTAATTTTTTATTTTATTTTGACAAACAAAATACTTTGTGAATGAAATAGGATAAAAATGCATGTTGTCTTGTCATTAGTAGATTTAACTAAAAAAAAATATTTGTGTTAAGATTTAGTAACAAATCTTATAAATTTGCGACCGTAAAATGTATGCTCCTCGACCGAGGCGTACAAAATGCTTGATTTATTATACAGAGTGTTGGGTAAATGGATTTATAAGCAGACACTAGCCCATGTTAACGTGTGCATAAATGGTATGGTGAAGTCAGAAATTTTATATCAGCATTTTAATAATTTTAATTTTCATAGAAATCTGATTTTATAAATTTTATTTTGTATGAAAATTAAAAAAAATATGATATCACTGACTACACCATACCATTTACATAACACCTTGTATAAATAGGTAGGTACTTGTAATTATTTTTTATAAAAACAACACTTACTGTTTACAAAACAACACATCGTCAGTTTGTTACTGTGGCACATTCGCGACACCCCCGACTTTTGCATGTCGAGCGCATACCGAGATTTGAATTTCGAAGGAAAGCTCGCGTCTCGTCCGTTTATATGAAGTTACAATACTGTATGATAGTATTACCGTGCTATCGGCGTATCAGTGATATCAATGATACGGGGCCGTCTGGCTACAAATGAACCATTGGACAGAGTAGGCAACTGCTTATGGGCCCTAGCTTTTTCCGCGTACGAGTGGGGTCCTGTCAGCTAAAAATACCAATGGTGTACTAATGACCTTTTTTACGATGACATTTTAGGAGGGTCCCCTCTCTGAGGCTGGTTTTAAGTGTCACGCGGACCGTCCGGTGCGGCCAATCTGTATGAACTTCTAGGGAGCGTTTTAGAGTAACGCGGTCCGGAGGAACCGCTCCGTTCCCTAGCAGTTCATACAAATCGGCTGTGCGGAGCGATCCGCACTGACAGTCCGCGTGACACCAGAATCAGCCTAAGACACGCTACGCCGCTGGTGTCNGGGGTAGGTCAGGTAAATGGCAAATCCACCAGCGGTCGCTCGATGACACTTAGACAAATAGTTTTATAAAACGTCAACTAAGTTGGTTAGGTATTTGTTTTGTAGATACTTATACAAATGAACGTATAAAATGAGTTTATTTCTAAAAGTATGTTTCTGTAAGGTACATGGTGGAAACGATAAGTGATTTCACTTGATTTTTAATTATACAAGATATCGAGAAACTGTTTACTGTTCCTGTAAGTGCTTCATGAGCTCTTTAAAACAATAACAATGAATACTAAATTCATACTAAATGTATGCCGCCAGCCATGAACAAAGATACCCCTTCTCAGCGGTTTCCATAGTAATCGGAATAGGTTGTGTGATTCTTTCAGGCAGTGCATTTTCGCATGTCGCGAGCGCTATGGAAACCGCTGGGAAGGGGTATCTTTGTTTAACAATTACGTCGAAACTAATAGACGTAGACTAATAAATTTACATTCGTTTTGTAGAATAGCTCAAATACTAAAAATACAATGCAAATAAAACATACCTTAACGACCTGGTTTTTCTTGTGTTGGAAAATAACTGAAAAAGAAGTGAAAAAAGTAATGTATTTTTCTAATTAAATCCATTCTTACTCCCATAAAATGTATGAAACTTGTGTCTGCTTTCTTCTTCTACTGATGGATAATTTTACTGGCTATCGCATGATATAAAATATTTGCCTATTAAGTGTTTTTTTGGTTATTTGATAAATTTCTCCAAAAAATGCCCCTATAACCGGAAGTTTTTATTACTTTGTATCATTCTCTATCGTATTACCTTCGTAAAACCAAAAATCGCAGGTCTCTATCCCTATCACAACGTTTGCAATGATCGTTTGAACTAAGCCTCTCCGGGCGCGCCATTCAACGCTTCGTTAACAACAAAACTGAAAATGGCTCTAGATTGGTAATTTTGATAAAGACAAGTTAGATTTCCAATAAAAACAAAAGATTTCGAAGTAAAATAAGCATTTTAGTTAAAATTAAAATTGTCTCTACCTGTAGCGGAGAATAATGTTGTGGCAGGCCTTTGTTCAAACGATCATAGCAAATGTTGGGATACGGATAGAGACATGCGATTTTTGGTTTTACAAAGATAATACGATAGAGAATAATAGAAAGTAATAAAAACCACCGGTTATAAGGGCATTTTTTGGAGAAATTTATCAAATAACCAAAAAAACACGAATTTTTAAGCAGATTTTTTTCAAAAAGTATCATTATTTTTTATAAGTTGGCATTTTATGTGTATTTTATGTATTATTTTAGTATCGCCTGTTACTTTGCATTATTACTGTTTTTATTTTATCAGGATATACCGCTTAGTTTAAAAGTTATTACGTTTTCTTTACAACAAGTAATTGGAAGAAAAAAAATTCTATAAAAAAATAAAAAAAAAATCTCAAAAAATTTTTGACCTGTTTTTTGTCGATAAAAATAGGTCTAGTTTCATCTGTTTTCATATGTACACTTTAACGTGACTCACACTGTATACGAAGCAGGTAGGTACTAACACCCGTAGGTATTCACAAACTATACTTGCTTATGTGAAGCAACAACGCTATGCGAATTCGAACGCACAGCGTTGATTAGAGCTCTGTGATTAGTTCGCACTCCCTCAAGTATTGTCTATGAATAGGTTTTTGGGACCCAGTGCGTCCATGTGTATACTGTGTGACCTCATAGTAATGTTTGTAAATACGGGTGTAAAGTTTTTTTGAAGGAAAGCATGAGATATCGGGTTTAAAAAAAAACTATCTATTCAAGTGATCCAAAGTCAAATAATTTGACTATCGTTTCAAGTCAGGTTCAGAAAATTAAATGTACTGTATTGAATTAAGCATTATATCACNGCTCGTCGGCGCGCGCGCGCCCGCCACCGGGCTCGCCTACGACCCGCTCATGCTCAAGCACGGGTGAGTGCGGCGCACAGTGTCGGAGCTGACGGCGCACAGCGAGCCCGCCCCGCCCCCCGCCGAGCCCGCCCTTTTGACGTTCCACGAGATCCTGAGCCTGTGAAAAAAAAAAGAAATCATCGTATCAATCATCATCATCAGATCGAAGTCGCATCGAGCTTGAAAGTCTGTCAACTGGGAAATGTGATCTCAATGGGCAAGAGAGCGATCCTATCTAGTCTAGTGCCGACTTCTTGGAGCTTCAATCTTTGTCGTACTCCTCACATTATGGATGTTCGCATCTTAATTTAAATTCGAACGATGTTGCAACGGCAACTGATGACTGACGATCGAGCACGCTCGGCGTTCTTTGGTTTTTAATCGACTTTTAAAAAAGGAGGAGGTTGTTTCATGTTTCGATATTCCAATTTTGAGGCTACGCATCATTACGCAAATACATTGTCGAAACATTCAACAACCAACACATTTATTTCGTGTCCTGAATGTTTGATATTCGGTTGCAGGTGCGGCTGCGGCGCGCACGCCCCGACGCACCCGGAGCACGGTGGGCGGTTACAATCAGTGTGGGCGCGCCTGTGTGAGACCGGGCTCAGCGCGCGCACGGAACGCACGCGCCCGCGCAAAGCCACGCTTGAGGAACTACAGGTGAGCTATAACTCGCGGTGATTGCAGCAGTATTTTGAACCTTATCAATAAAAAAAATGAGATTGCGCAGTAACCTAAAGTTAAACTTGGCGTTTAGACGCATTTCGTTCAATTGGTTGGCTCCGATAATAACAAATTTTACTGTTCTGCGCTGCTATTCGCCAAATAGACATGGTATGGTAATGAGGGCTATCGTTTTAGCGCTCACCAGTTAGCGCCACTGTAGAGTAAGGTCCTGTCACTTGCTAGTAGCGAAGACAGTTGCACCAACTGGTGAGCGCAAAAGTGGTAGGAGGACTATCGCATTTGCACTCATCAAGATGGCGCCACTGTAGAGTAAGGTCCTGTCAATCGCCAGGGGTGCCAACTGTTAAATATATAAACGATAGCCCTCATTGCGCAAGTCCTTAGTGCCTTTGTCTGCTCAGCTGTATCTGGGATGATCAATTTGTCAACGGTCACTTGGTCGTCTCAAGTACGCTTGCTTCACTGCACGACCCTTTACCATTCTTTCCGGATGTTTATTTATTTTTATTTTTCTTTATTCAAAAAACCACAGCTCTTTATAATTAACTAGCTGACCCCGCGAACTTTGTTCCGCCTTAATGGCAATAAATAAGCAGACTTTTTTTTAAATTTCGAACGGGATAAAAAGTATCCTATGTCCTTCTCCTGGCTCTAAACTACCTCCCTGACAATTTTCAGCTAAATCGGTTCAGCCGTTCTTGAGTTATAAGCGAAGTAACTAACACGACTTTCTTTTATATATGTTACTGTAAAAGCTCGAACTACGGTTAATCTTAAGATTTAAGTGTAAGTCTTAGGATTTACCGACATGAGTTGGTAAATGTAAGTATTTNTAACACGAAATTTCAAATGCAAATTTCTCAAAAGTATGTTCTCAAAATTCGGTGATTTTTTTTTCGTGAGTAAAATAAAAGGTCTTTTATAACATGCAATAATTCGTTATTGCTCAAAATGTACAACTTAAATTTAAAAAATTAAAAACCAAAAATCAGTTTTTTTATAATTTCTCCGGATCTACAAAGCTTTAGAATGTGATGTATAGCTCAAAAAAAGGGAAATTGTGTGCTTTATTACTCACATAAGTCAATTGTGTTACAACTTCAACAAAAGAACAGATAAACCAAAAATCGTATTTTAACACACACAAAATAAGCCAAATTAAAAAAAAAATTTCTCGAAAGCTGTTGAAGATAGACCACGGGTTTCTTTTAAGAATTTACTTAGATTTACTTGTTAAATCATGTCATCTATTCACCAAAAAATGTCCGCTTCCAAGTGATTTTAAAAGACTGTGCGCTGTCCTCGCCGCTCGTCGGCGCGCGCGCGCCCGCCACCGGGCTCGCCTACGACCCGCTCATGCTCAAGCACGGGTGAGTGCGGCGCACAGTGTCGGAGCTGACGGCGCGCGCTGTCCTCGCCGCTCGTCGGCGCGCGCGCGCCCGCCACCGGGCTCGCCTACGACCCGCTCATGCTCAAGCACGGGTGAGTGCGGCGCACAGTGTCGGAGCTGACGGCGCACAGCGAGCCCGCCCTTTTGACGTTCCACAAGATCCTGAGCCTGTTACTCCAATGAAATCATCGTATCAATCATCATCATCATCGGATCAACGCCGCATCGAGCTTAAAAGTCTGTCAACTGGGAAACGAGATCTCAATGAGCAAGAGAGGATGGTCCTTTCTAGTCTAGTGCCGATTTCTTGGAGCTTCAACCTTTGTCCAACTGCTTATATGGATGTTCGCATCTTAATTTAAATTCGAACGGAGTTGCGATGACAACTGATTACTGACAATAGAGCACGCTCGGCGTTCTTTGGTTTTTAATCGACTTTAAAAGCGGAGGAGGTTATTTCATGTTTCGATATTCCAATTTTGAGGCTACGCATCATTACGCAAATACATTGTCGAAACATTCAACAACCAACACATTTATTTCGTGTCCTGAATGTTTGGTATTCTCTTCCAGGTGCGGCTGCGGCGCGCACGCCCCGACGCACCCGGAGCACGGCGGGCGGTTGCAGTCAGTGTGGGCGCGCTTATGTGAGACCGGGCTCAGCGCGCGCACGGAACGCACGCGCCCGCGCAAAGCCACGCTTGAGGAACTACAGGTGAGACATAGACTCGCGGTGGTTGCAGCAGTATTTTGGATCTAATCTCAATGTATCAAATTTTCTTATTTCAATCTTATAAACAACTAAAAAAACTAACTAAGAAAATGCAGTGATTTAAAGTGAGTCTAGATCTCTAATAAGAATCTTCACTCTGGTCTGTTCTGCACCTCTCACAAGTTATCAACGTGGAAATCATACAAGTCCTTGGCGACTTCGTTTACCCAGCAGCACCTGGGACGACCAACCGGTCGTCGGTCCCTTGGTCGTCCCAAATGAGCTTGCTTCACCGCACGGTCTTTTTCCATTCTTTCCAGATGCCCAAGCTAGCTTATTATAAATAATAAATTGAAAAAAGCGACTCAATCGCTAAGAAATATTAATACTTAAGCTCATATTTTGATGTTTAGCTTAGCTCCTCATTCTTTTTTCTCCCCCAAGTGCCATCCTTTGTGCGTATCAGCCCTAGAGTCTCTTCTAAGACACCAGTAGCTCGGTATCTTCTAATAAGAAAAAAGAAGAAACACAACTAACCAACGTAATGTCAAGTCTCCCCCAAGTGCCATTCTTTGTGCGTACCAGCCCCAGAATCTTGCTTCAGTTTCCTCTCGGCTCCCAGGAGCTTGGTTTGAAAACAACTAATCAGCATCTTAGATTAATAAAACCTAGATATATAGTCAGTGCACGAAAGGTGAGGCAGATTTTAGTAAGCCAGAATGGCTTACTCGTAAACGTCACATGAACTGTCAAAGTGAAAAATTGGTAAACACGTCCGATGACTTTTAATTAATTAAGACGGTTTGTGCTGTGAAAGGGTGTCTAAATACATCAGAAAAACTAAAGAAAGTGACCAGTGTTACATTTCATAAGTAAGTACTACGATTCGACGCGTATTTTGCTTGAATTTGGTACCAGTAACAAGAAAATTTATTTCCCAATTGTTCGCCGTACAAATACACTTCCTTTTTTATGAAATCGAGACTTTTCAGTCGATTTATCTTATTGTAATTAGGTAGGTACTTTGAATTCAATAAATAAGTAAGTACATGATGCGTTTTGTTTTTGTTAGTTATAAAATAATTAAAAACGTATCAAAAATTTCCCTATTTTCGGGAAAATCGCCTTCACTGTCTACACTCCCCAACAAAATTGACACTGATGACATAAGATTTTTGCCTCACTCTTGACGAAGCGTTTGTACGAAGACTGTCCATCTAGGTTTTATTAATCTAAGACCAGCATCAATATGTCCGCAGTCGGTGCACACAGAAGCGCACGTGCTAACATTCGCGGGGCGCGGGCGCGGCGAGGGCGGCGTGCGGCAGCTGGTGCGGCTGGCGTGCGGCGGCGTGGGCGTGGACGCCGACACCGCCTGGTCGGAGGCGCACACGCCGCCCGCAGCACGCATGGCCGCCGGCGCCGTGCTCGACCTCGCGCTGCGCACCGCGCGCGGGGACCTGCGCAACGGGTGCGTACTCACCGCTTTAGGGCCTATATGACGAAGCTCGACAATGCTGGATGCGATACGGAGAGCCGAGCAAGGACCTGTTTATCACCAGGACCTCACGAGTAGTCGTAGTAATTGGATCGCGCACTCCTGGCACACAATCAGGCGAAGTTATGAAAAGAAGTGATGACATTCATCAACGTTAGCAGCCCGACGCGAAGTACCGTATTTGTGGTGTCAAGCCCCAGAAGGGGGAGAATTGACAATGAGAAGGGACAAGGATAAGAGAAATTTGTAGGGAGTCAAGCAAAGCGCCCGGGGAAAGAGCCCAGAGCAAGTACCCGCGCGCTCTCCCGAGATTCGGTTCGTACGCCGTGAGGCAGGAAGAACCATGGATGGTGGTGGGTTGCTCTATGGCAGCCGGCGTGGGCGTGGACGCCGACACCGCCTGGTCGGAGGCGCACACGCCGCCCGCAGCACGCATGGCCGCCGGCGCCGTGCTCGACCTCGCGCTGCGCACCGCGCGCGGGGACCTGCGCAACGGGTATGTAATACCAGAGTAAATACGCACGCACACACTGACAAAATTTAGCGTGGATTAGCGGGGAGTTGCGCCGAATTTTGTTAGTGTGTGCGTGCGCGCCGCATACGTATTGGCGCGCTCACATACAAACCGCGCTCGGTGCGTTTCTATGAAGATGACCTGCTCATTTGTATTTACTCTGGTAATACTCACTGCTCTAACCGGTCGGATAAACTATGGATCAGAGAAATTTGTAGGGAGTCAAGCAAAGCGCCCGGGGAAAGGAGCCCGCAGCCGCTTGCAAACCACTAAAGCCTGGTCCGTGAGCACGTAGAATTTTGTTGCTCGCACACTCACTGCGGGCGCCCGTCGCACAGTCGCGACAGCAATATAATTACACGCGAGCGATAAGGATGGGTAGCTTGGGGTCATTGGACAAAATTCTACGTGCTCGCAGACCAGACTATAGTATGATAAGGCCCTAACACAAGTCGCTCCCGTCGATCGCTGGCGAGTGCCATTGTAGTAAAAGGTCACTGTCAGTTGCTGGTGAGGAAGACAGTGATGCCAACTGGTAAGCGCTAAAGCGGTAGGAGGACTATCGCATATGCAATCACCAGGATGGCGCACTGTAGAGTAGTCGATCGCCAGTGGTGCCAACTGTTAAATATAAAAACGATAGCTCTTATTATTTTTCAAAATCTTGCATCGAACGTGTGTAACCCATATTGTCTTTTGCAGGTTTGCGGTGGTGCGGCCGCCGGGACACCACGCGGAGCCAAACCAGGCGATGGGCTTCTGCTTCTTCAACTCCGTGGGCGTGGCCGCGCGCCTGCTGCACACGCGCCTGCGCCTGCAGCGCGTGCTCGTCGTCGACTGGGTGCGTAGCGCACGGTGTGACGTCACTGTCTCCACCGTCTCCTGCAGTGAGCCAGGCGACGGGCTTCTGCTTCTTCAACTCCGTGGGCGTGGCCGAGCGTCGCACGACCGCACGGTGTGACGTCATCGTCGCCACTAATGCCGGCTGTGTATACTCTCGCCGAGAACCCACGAAACAGGTCGCTCTCGCTACCATTCAGGGTGTCTTGCTATCGCTCACTCGCTCTCGCCCCCTGTGATCGCACATGAGGTTGTCTCGTGAGACGTTCGGGCGAGTCTGGGCGCAACGCACAAATAGACAGTGAGACGAAATGGTAAGGTTTCTGTGTTACGATGACGAAAGGGTAACCAGTGCAACGCAATTTTTTTTAATATCAAGATGATAGCTTTCACTCCAAAGACAGGAATACCATTACCAACGCTGCAATTACCGAATAAAGCCCTATTCAGACCTAAGCGGTATTCGCTACCGTCTGCGGCAGAGAAAACGCTCTAGCCGCGGTACTTGATACTAAATACCTGAGCGAAACCCGCGTGGTATGTACCTCTACCCACAGCGGCAGCGAATATCGCTCAGGTTTAAATAGGCCTTAAGGGAAGAAGACAACGCCCCGTTCATGTGGCACTCGTTCATTCGTTTCAGCCAAATAACGTCCACTTTTGGACAAAGGCTTCATAACGACCGGCCCTGCGCCTTTACTGTGTGGCACTCAATAAACCACGGGCCCGTGTAACATGTCCGTAACTTGTTGTGTGGCACTCGATAAACCACGGGCCCGTGTAACATGTCCGTAACTTGTTGTGTGGCACTCGATAAACCACGGGCTCGTGTAACATGTCCGTAACTTGTTGTGAGGCACTCGATAAACCACGGGCCCGTGTAACCTCTCCGTTGCTTGCAGGACGTGCACCACGGCAACGGCACGCAGCAGATGTTCTACGAGGACCCGCACGTGCTGTACATCAGCCTGCACCGGCACGACGACGGCAACTTCTTCCCGGGCACGGGCGCGGCGGCCGAGTGCGGCGCGGGCGCGGGGCTCGGGCTCACCGTCAACGTGGCCTGGCCCGCCGCGCCGCCGCACGGCGACGCCGAGTATCTCGCCGCCTTCCGCTCCGTCGTCATGCCCATCGCCAAGGTACCGGCGTTAACCAATCATTGCAAAACGAAACTCCTTAAAATGCATATTATTCTAGCTCTAAATTACTTATCCACTAGAGCAGTGGTTCCTAACCTGGGGGTAATTACCCCCGCAGGGGTAAAACGGAAATTCTAGAGAGATAACACGGGATGGGATGAGGTTTTAATTATTTTAAATTAGCTAGGGGTAAACTCAATTCTCATACTTGTTCACAGGGGTGGTGACATTGAAAAGGTTAGGAACCACTGCATTAGAGGCTGCCTCGTCCCGAGACAGACCAAGTAGTAACCTTATCTCAATCTGCGGCACGCCGCATCCTGAGGCAAATTCGTAGGCGTGAACTGAGCCATATTGTGTCGCTCGGAACGAGGCAGCCACTAAAGCCCGGTCGCCGAGCTGTGCGACGACGGGCGGCTGCAGTGAGTGTGCGAGCGCGACAGCAATATAATTACGCGTGAGCGATAAGGATGTGTAGCTTGGGGTTATTGGACGAAATTCTACGTGCTCGACAACTAGACTAGTGGATATGATTATGGAATATTTTCTTATTTGTCTAGTCGTAATTTACTAATTGAAACATATTGGGTTTCCAGGAGTACGACCCTGAGATGGTGCTTGTATCGTGCGGCTTCGACGCGGCGGCCGGGCACCCCGCGCCGCTGGGCGGCTACAGCGTGTCGCCCGCCTGCTTCGCGCACATGACCGCTGATCTCATGACCCTCGCGGGCGGCAANTGTTACTGTAAAAGCTCGAACTACGGTTAATCTTAAGATTTAAGTGTAAGTCTTAGGATTTACCGACATGAGTTGGTAAATGTAAGTATTTCTGAAAATACGACGATTTTTTCGAGCTTTTACCATTCTAATTCAGTATATGCTAGGTTTTACCTCTGTCAGCTGGTAGATGTTGGTTTTAGGAATAAAACAATGAGTAATTCTTAATGGGGAATTATAAAACGATCGACTAAAAAATAACTTAGCGACTGATGATGGCATACTGTTTTAATAACTTGAGCGGTATGAATTTGAGTAAGCGAAAAATTAACTTAACTAACGACGAATATTGATTAATAATCAAATGCAGAACGAGCTTACAAAGAGTGGGTTATGTTTAATCCATTTTAGATATTAAAATTCTGTCCGTGCGATTACTTTACTAAGTGAGCGACTAGAAATACAAAGAGGGCAACTTCAATATTAAGATAGATTCGATTTTTTTCCAATTGAAGTAATTTCTGATGATGATGATGATGATGATGAGATGCCCTGAGAACGTCTTGACATGTTTTGTTTTTCAACATTTACCGTGCCATTAATGTAAATCCTAAGATTTACCAACGAAATGGTGGTAAGAGTTCGAATCGCAAACCTTTTGGGACATTTACCATTAGGAATTGGTAGATCTTAGGTTTTACTGGAATATCTTAGGATTTACTGCAATTCGAGCTTTTACAGTAACATATATATAGATAATAATTCAAACAGGTATTTTTGTTCTTACAGCCAATAATGGATTCTATATAATATTATTACTATCTCGTAAAAAACAGTCAAAGGGGTCATCCAAGTCAAGCTTTTATTTTACCAATGATATTTGGCTCAGCTCCTCATTCTTTTTTCTCTCCAAAATGCCATTTTTTGTGCGTACCAGCCCCAGAATCTAGGAAACTCTGAAAGTTTCCTCTCGGCTCCCAGGAGCTTGGTTTGAAAACAACTAACCACCATCAATATATCCGCAGTCGGTGCACACAGAAGCGCACGTGCTAACATTCGCGGGGCGCGGGCGCGGCGAGGGCGGCGTGCGGCAGCTGGTGCGGCTGGCGTGCGGCGGCGTGGGCGTGGACGCCGACACCGCCTGGTCGGAGGCGCACACGCCGCCCGCAGCACGCATGGCCGCCGGCGCCGTGCTCGACCTCGCGCTGCGCACCGCGCGCGGGGACCTGCGCAACGGGTGCGTACTCACCGCTTTAGGGCCTATATGACGAAGCTCGACAATGCTGGATGCGATACGGAGAGCCGAGCAAGGACCTGTTTATCACCAGGACCTCACGAGTAGTCGCAGTAATTGGATCGCGCTACGCGAGTTCGCGCACTCCTGGCACACAATCAGGCGAAGTTATGAGAAGTGATGACATTCATCAACGCTAGCAGCCCGACGCGAAGTACCGTATTTGTGGTGTCAAGCCCCAGAAGGGGGAGAATTGACAATGAGAAGGGACAAGGATAAGAGAAATTTGTAGGGAGTCAAGCAAAGCGCCCGGGGAAAGAGCCCAGAGCAAGTACCCGCGCGCTCTCCCGAGATTCGGTTCGTACGCCGTGAGGCAGGAAGAACCATGGGTGGTGGTGGGTTGCTCTAAGGCAGCCGGTGCGGGCGTGGACGCCGACACCGCCTGGTCCGAGGCGCACACGCCGCCCGCCGCGCGCATGGCCGCCGGCGCCGTGCTCGACCTCGCGCTGTGCACCGCGCGCGGGGACCTGCGCAACGGGTGCGTACTCACCGCTCTAGGGCAGCCGTGTGACTTCCCACGACTTCCCAGGTTCTTACGGAGCACGGCTGCTTTAACGAGCGACTATGCAACATGGGGTTGAGGGACAACCCACCACCACCCATGGCCATGGCAACCTTGCGGTTATAACTGGCCGAATCGCGGGAGATGCGCGCGGAACTGCGTCTGCCGTAGCAGGTTGCACTCTGCCGCGCGCAACGCTTGACTCCCTACAAATTCTTTGATCTATTTCCTTGTCCCTATATATGCTACTCTCCCCGTTCTGGGGCTGCGACTATCACAAAACGGATGGCACCCTATGGCGCCGAGCCGTCCGGTGCTGTCCTCCTCGTATGCCACTTGTACGCAAACGCCTAGAGCCGTTTGAAGTTCGCCTCTGACGCAACTAGATCGGGGTACCGAGCGGGGCCGTGCGTCTCCAGCACGACTCCCTGCAGCAGCTCCTCGCGTATGTCCCTGTATAGGGGACAATCCCACAGTATGTGGTGACGGTCCTCCTCGAGCTCACCGCAATCGCAGCTCGCGCTGTCCCTCAAACCCATGTTGCACAGCCGCTTGTTAAAGCACAGTAACAAAGTGGTTGAGGGACAGTGCGAGCTGCGAGTGCGGAGAGCTCGAGGAAGACCGTCACCACATACTGTGGGATTGTCCCCTATATAGGGACATACGCGAGGAACTAACACAAGTTCCCATTGATCGCTGGCGAGTGCCATTGTAGTTTAAGGCCACTGTCAGTTGCTAGTGAGAAAGACAGTATTGCCAACTGGTAAGCGCTGAAGCGGTAGGAAGACTATCGCATTTGCAATCACCAGGATGGCGCCACTGTAGAGTAGTCGATCGCCAGTGGTGCCAACTGTTAAATATAAAAACGATAGCTCTTATTGTATATCGTGTGTAACCCATGCATATTGTTCCTTGCAGGTTTGCGGTAGTGCGGCCGCCGGGACACCACGCGGAGCCGAACCAGGCGATGGGCTTCTGCTTCTTCAACTCCGTGGGCGTGGCCGCGCGCCTGCTGCACACGCGCCTGCGCCTGCAGCGCGTGCTCGTCGTCGACTGGGTGCGTAGCGCACGGTGTGACGTCACTGTCGCCACCGTCTCCTGCAGTGAGCCAGGCGACGGGCTTCTGCTTCTTCAACTCCGTGGGCGTGGCCGCGCGTCGCACGACCGCACGGTGTGACGTCATCGTCGCCACTAATGCCGGCTGTGTATACTCTCGCCGAGAACCCATGAGACAGGTCGCTCTCGCTACCACTAAGGGGTGTCTTGCTATCGCTTACTCGCTCTCGCCCCCTGTGTTCGCACATGAGGCTGTCTCGTGAGACGTTCGGGCGAGTCTGGGCGCAACGCACAAAGAGACAGCGAGACGAGACGGTAAGGTTTCTGTGTTACGATGACGAAAGGGTAACCAGTGCAACGCAATTTTTTTTAATATCAAGATGACAGCTTTCACTCCAAAGACAGAAATACCATTACCAACGCTGCAATTACCGAATAAAGCCCTATTCAGACCTAAGCGGTATTCGCTACCGTCTGCGGCAGAGAAAACGCTCTAGCCGCGGTACTTGATACTAAATACCTGAGCGAAACCCGCGTGGTATGTACTTCTACCCACAGCGGCAGCGAATATCGCTCAGGTTTAAATAGGCCTTAAGGGAAGAAGACAACGCCCCGTTCATGTGGCACTCGTTCATTCGTTTCAGCCAAATAACGTCCACTTTTGGACAAAGGCTTCATAACGACCGGCCCTGCGCCTTTACTGTGTGGCACTCAATAAACCACGGGCCCGTGTAACATGTCCGTAACTTGTTGTGTGGCACTCGATAAACCACGGGCCCGTGTAACATGTCCGTAACTTGTTGTGTGGCACTCGATAAACCACGGGCCCGTGTAACATGTCCGTAACTTGTTGTGAGGCACTCGATAAACCACGGGCCCGTGTAACATGTCCGTAACTTGTTGTGTGGCACTCGATAAACCACGGGCCCGTGTAACATGTCCGTAACTTGTTGTGAGGCACTCGATAAACCACGGGCCCGTGTAACCTCTCCGTTGCTTGCAGGACGTGCACCACGGCAACGGCACGCAGCAGATGTTCTACGAGGACCCGCACGTGCTATACATCAGCCTGCACCGGCACGACGACGGCAACTTCTTCCCGGGCACGGGCGCGGCGGCGGAATGCGGCGCGGGCGCGGGGCTCGGGCTCACCGTCAACGTGGCCTGGCCCGCCGCGCCGCCGCACGGCGACGCCGAGTACCTCGCCGCCTTCCGCTCCGTCGTCATGCCCATCGCCAAGGTAACACCAGTGAAACAAATCTCTTTAAAAAGCACATTATTCTAGCTCTAAATTACTTATCCACTAGAGGCGGCCTCGGGCCGAGCGGCTAGATAGCAAATAGACACTATCTCAATCTGCGGCACGCCGAGAAATTCGTTGTAAAAAAAATTCGTAGCCGCGAGCCGAGCCATATTGTGTCTGTCGCTCGGGACGAGGCAGCCGTTTGATCCGTGGCTGCCTCTAGTGAATAAAGATGATTGTGGAATATTTTCTTATTTGTCTAAAGCCCGGTCTGTGAGCACGTAGAATTTTGTCCAATTACCCCAAGCTACCCATCTTTATCGTGTGCGCGTAATTATATTGCTATCGCGACTGTGCGACGAGCGACCGCAGTGAGTATGCGAGCGCGACTGCAATATAATTATGCGCGAGCGATAAGGATGGGTAGCTTGGGGTTATTGAACGAAATTCTATGTGCTCGGCGACCGGACTTAAACCCTAAATTACTTATCCATTAGAAACGGCCTCGGATCGAGCGGCTGCCTCGTCTCGAAGCAGACCAAGTAGTGACCCTATATCAATCTGCGACACGCCGCATCCCAAGGCAAATTGTGTCATATTGTGTCGCTCGGGACGAGGCAGCCGTTCGATCCGAGGCCTCTAAAGTCCGGTCGCCGAGCTGTGCGACGACGGGCGGCCGCAGCGAGTGTGCGAGCGCGACAGCAATATAATTACGCGCGAGCGATAAGGATAGCTTGGGATCATTGGACGAAATTCTACGTGCTCGACAACCGGACTTTAGTGGATAAGGATGATTGTGGAATATTTTCTTATTTGTCTAGTCGTAATTTACTAATTGAAACATATTGGGTTTCCAGGAGTACGACCCTGAGATGGTGCTGGTATCGTGCGGCTTCGACGCGGCGGCCGGGCACCCCGCGCCGCTGGGCGGCTACAGCGTGTCGCCCGCCTGCTTCGCGCACATGACCGCTGATCTCATGACCCTCGCGGGCGGCAAGGTCGGTCCCCGATGTGTCCCCAGCAGTGCGAGCCCGAGTGTGCTGGTGTCGCGCGGGTAGACGCGGCGGCTACAGCGTGTCGCCCGCCTGCTTCGCGCACATGACCGCTGATCTCATGACCCTCGCGGGCGGCAAGGTCGGTCCCCGATGTGTCCCCAGCAGTGCGAGCCCGAGTGTGCTGGTGTCGCGCGGGTAGACGCGGCGGCTACAGCGTGTCGCCCGCCTGCTTCGCGCACATGACCGCTGATCTCATGACCCTCGCGGGCGGCAAGGTCGGTCCCCGATGTGTCCCCAGCAGTGCGAGCCCGAGTGTGCTGGTGTCGCAGTTCTCGCGTTCCCCGGATCACGAGTCTGCCAATCTGACCCCTTCATTGTTCGGCTATCGTGGCTTCAATTAGTGAGAGTTTACACACGGCCACACAGTTAACTATCCATTTTCGTTTTTGCTCTCGCTCTCATCAAATAGTGATTCTTTGCGATAGAACGAGACGACATGACAGGCAATGGATAGTTAACACCGATGGTACATTTTAATGGCAGGTGCTGCCACCTGAACTTCTGTTTCTAAAGTGTGCGGACTTCGAGAGACTGGATTCCTCGCAAGGTTACACGAGTGTGTAAATAATAATAATGTGCTTTGAACATCGGTTAGATTTCTCGAAGCTTCACGTCATCTATCTTTCCATTTGCGATTACCTATAAATGGCTAAGCAGATACATAATTTAAGGTCCCATTATTTGTATTGTATTGCTGTTGGTTATCCGAATAAAATAAAATAAAATAAATAAAAATAAATAAATAAAATCTAAAATTAAGGATGCAATTCTATTCAGGGTGGATTCGACCAAATAATCACATATTTCCCATACTGAAACTGTCAATGTGCCAGTTATACCAGGAGTTATTCTCGGATAAAAATTTGGTCGAATTGGGCCTTAGTTGTGTTGTGTGTACTTCAGGTTCATGAAAGTGGGTCAATTTTTTTTATGCATAACAATGCAGTTATTTGACCACAATCGCACCTGATGTTTGGGATGCAGTCTAGGATGGTACATATCTGCCCTGTAAGTGCCTATTCACTCTCGCCTTGAAAATGCCCGGATTATAGTCTTCGGGAAAGACAGAAGCAGGCAGCGAATTCCAGTCCCTAGCTGTTCGCATTATAAAAGAATAGGGATGTTTCCTGGGTCAAAAAGCAAGAGTTTTAATTAGTCCGTCAATTAACTTATCAAAAAATACTCTACACGTATTTTTCACTTTTTCAAACTAAAGAAGAGGCCCGTGACGTCAATGCGTGCATAAAAGTGCCGCACGTTATGACGTCGTGCGGAACTTCAACGCACCATAACTATGTAATAATTAGAGATGGGCCGACTAGTCGCCGACTAGTCGGGAAAGCCGACTATTCGGCATCATTTGTAGTCGGCCGACTAGTGACGACTATTCGGCAAAATATGCCGATTATAATCGGCGCATTACAAAATTAAATATGTGAATGAAATAAATTTCATAATCACCAAGATGATTATCAGGTAGACCAAGGGCGTTTATCGAAACCACTTTTGACTGCAAAAATCAGTCAAAAGTGGTTTCACCTGATTTAAAATTTTGGCAATCAGTCTAAATGTAAATGTCCGCAGAATAACAGCGTCCTGTTCTGGGGTCTACCTCAGAGCAGGACACAATGCTGAGCGGATGCCATTTTGGTCCACAAATGTGCAAGACGTATTGTAAACTGTACACTGTTATAATATATGTTGGGCCAAATAAAATATTTTCTTTCTTTATTTAACTTTCTTTCTTAAATTCATACAAAGTTAAGATGTTAAAAATACCAGGAAATCATCACAAATGTGTAAAGTTTATGCAATTTGTCCATAGAAAAATTATGACACTTTTTTTTCGGGGAAAAAATGCAAGGAATTGCATACCTACTCTGCGGGAAAGTGGTAGATTATGTGGGGCTCCTCTCATCGGAGGGATGAGGAATACCCACATATAACCCCTGAGTTCCGTCGATCGCCTTAGTGTGAAGAACTATAATCCGGACAAAGCCATCAACTATCACAGTCCGTCCCGGCAATTTCCCACCTGTATGGCGGGCCCTGCCTATCCGACGGTGGTGGTAGTAGTCCGTGCTATGTAGGCGGGGGTACCTACCCCCACGCCCTCGGCTTTCGATGCGCACCGCGACAAGCGGTTCTCACTACATTTTGTCAATTTTTCCCATACATTTTCACGTCGATAAGAATATCATAATATGTCAAAATGTATGGGAAAAATTGAGGAGGCAAGCAGCCAAGCAGGAGGCGATCATATTCTCACCTCCCCTGACACCTCTGTCGTCGAAAATTATGACATCTACCTTAGGTACTGTTATGTGAAAGAAATCTTATTTCTCAAGAAGTTATAATAATATGTATATCTCTTAAGAAATCTAGATATTCAATCTTATTTCTTTGAGAAATATTATTCTTCGACAAGTAGGTATTAAAATGATCGGCATTGCCGATTAGTCGGCCGACTAATCGGCAATTTGAAAACCGATTAGTCGGCTAGTCGGTTAGTCGGCAAAGACCATAGTCGGCCCATCACTAGTAATAATTATTTGTTAGATTGACAAATAAAAATATATGTGTCAAATATTTTTTATATTAAACATGACGGACTAAAAAAATGTTTTTAGGAAACTAGCCTATTATTGATTGTTTTCGGCGGCGTCTGTAACGTTCGTTTGTTGTCTTGTCAGGTGGTGCTGTCGCTAGAGGGCGGCTACGACCTGCCGGCGGTGTGCGACTGCGCCGAGGCGTGCGTGCGGGCGCTGCTGGGCGAGCGCCTGCCGCCGCCGCCGCTGGCCGAGCTGGCGCGCGCGCCGCACCCGGCCGCCCAGCGCGCGCTCAAGGCCACGCACGCTGTGCACGAGCACCACTGGCCCACGGTGAGCATGAGGGATATCATCATCATCATTTCAGCCACAGGACGTCCACTGCTGAACATAGGCCTCCCCCGATGACTTCCACATCGCACGGTTGGTAGCGGCCTGCATCCAGCGCCTTCCTGCTATCTTTATCAGGTCGTCGGTCCACCTTGTGGGTGGACGTCTCACGCTGCGTTTTCCGGTACGTGGCCTCCATTCCAGAACCTTGCTGCCCCATCGGCCGTCGGTTCTGCGTACTGTGTGCCCTGCCCACTGCCACTTCAGCTTGCTGATCCGTCGGGCTATGTCAGCGACTTTAGTTCGTCGTCGAGGGATATCATACACCAGTATTTTTGCAACCCCCGACCGTACAAAGATGCTGATGCTGATGTTGCTTCAAGCAACCGAATATTTCAATCCATACATTTGCATACGCGACCCCTATAGAGGTTGAAAAACACTGTTATAGAGAATAGATTTCGTTCGTTTCAGCCAAATGACGTCCACTGCCGAACAAAGGCCTCCCTGAAAGATTTCCATGACGACCAGTCCGGCGCTGCCAGCATCCAAATTCTTTCCCCGACTTCACCAAATCGTTGGACCACCTAGGCCGCCACTTGAGAACTTTATTGCCCCAACGGCCATCATCTCTACGAGCTATGTGTTCCACCCACTGCCACTTAATTTTAGCAACCCGCAGAGGTTCATATCGGTCGACTCGGAGAAAAAATTTAGCTTGTACCTAAAATATATCAACTCTAGCTGAATGCAGCAATGTATAATGTGCTTCAGATAACTTGCGCAACATAGCAGTGTTAATTAATTCTACTTACGACTTACTACACAGTTTGCATTATAGGTACACGGATTACTGGTTTTTTCGTGTACTTTCTAACTATTTTTACATGAAGCACGTCGACGCATTTTTAATACGACGGAACCGTTATTTACCGATTATTTAAATTCTATATTTCTCCATACATCATCATTTTAGTTTTTCTCATGTTAAACCATGTTCTNCTCATCTCTAATATCTGCCCTGTAAGTGCCTATTCACTCTCGCCTTGAAAATGCCCGGATTATAGTCTTCGGGAAAGACAGAAGCAGGCAGCGAATTCTAGGGATGTTTCCTGGGTCAAAAAGCAAGAGTTTTAATTAGTCCGTCAATTAACTTATCAAAAAATACTCTACACGTATTTTTCACTTTTTCAAACTAATGAAAATTTAAAGAGATAAAGCGCGCCAAAGTTCATAAGAAAAGGCCCGTAACGTCAATGCGTGCATAAAAGTGCCGCACGTTGTGACGTCGTGCGGAACTTCAACGCACCATAACTATGTAATTATTTGTTAGATTGACAAATAAAAATATATGTGTCCAATATTTTTTGATATTAAACATGACGGACTAAAAAAAAATTGCGCCTTAGTTGTGTTGTGTGTATGTCACCGTAACATTGTGAATTCCGTCAGATTATAATCTGACGTAGTTAGATTACAATCTAATCTAACCTAACCCACTGTTAGTTTACTATGTCACGCGTTATATTATAAACTGACGGAGTTCACTCGCGTTGACATGTACTAGGTTTATGAAAGCGAATGTTTTCGGCGGCGTCTGTAATAGACTAAGAGCTGGTGAACGCCAGACCTACGTCATTTTATAAAAGCTGAAAGTTTGTCAGCATATGCTCTCAATATAGGATATAATGTTGGTGAATTATGAAGTTTGGGTCGTGGTGGCTTTGGGAGCTACCCTAAAAAAACTGTCTGGCAAGGAGTTGGAACTGTCAAAACTGTCTGGCTGTTGGGGAAAATACTTCTAATTATTGCCCAAATATTATACATAAAAATCAGATTTTATAGTATAACGTAAGTCTAACTTTTACGGTGGCTTTTTCTGTAAATTCAATGGACTGTAATTCTACTAATGTTATACCATTAAATCTGATTTTTATGTATAATATTTGGACAATAATTAGAAGTATTTTCCTTAACAGCCAGACAGTTTTGACAGTTCCAACTCCTTGCCAGACAGTTTTTTAGGGTAGCTCCCAAAGCCACCACGACCCAAACTTCATAATTCACCAACATTATATCCTATATTGGGAGCATACGCTGACAAACTTTCAGCTTTTATAAAATGACGTAGGTCTGGCGTTCACTAGCTCTTAGTCTATAACGTTCGTTTGTTGTCTTGTCAGGTGGTGCTGTCGCTAGAGGGCGGCTACGACCTGCCGGCGGTGTGCGACTGCGCCGAGGCGTGCGTGCGGGCGCTGCTGGGCGAGCGCCTGCCGCCGCCGCCGCTGGCCGAGCTGGCGCGCGCGCCGCACCCGGCCGCCCAGCGCGCGCTCAAGGCCACGCACGCCGTGCACGAGCACCACTGGCCCACGGTGAGCACCCACACATGATTTATTTATTTATTTACTAGCGGCCGCCCGCGACTTCGTACGCGTGGATCCCGTTTTACCCCCTTCATCTATCTTACGCGGTTTAGATTTTTTCATGCAAATGTTTTTTCCCGCTAACTCCCGTTCCCGTGGGAATTTTGCAATATCCTGTTGTAACTAAGCTTTAAGTTTACTAAGATACCTGCATGCCGAATTTCAAGCATCTAACTTTTAAGCGGTTTAGATTTTTTCATACAAATGTTTTTTCCCGCTAACTCCCGTTCTCGTGCGAGTTTTGCAATATCCTGTTGTAACTAAGCTTTAAGTTTACTAAGATACCTTCATACCAAATTTCAAACGTCTAACTTAAGCGGTTCAGATTTTTCATACAAAAGGATTTTCCCGCTCATTCCCGTTCCCGTGGGAATTCCTAAATATACTATAACCTGCCCAGGAGTATGAAGAATAATTGTACCAAGTTTCGTTAAAATCCGTCGAGTAGTTTTTGTTTCTATAAGGAACATACAGACAGACAGACAAAAATTTTACTGATTGCATTTTTGGCATCAGTATCGATCACTAATCACCCCCTGATAGTTATTTTGAAAATATATTTCATGTACAGAATTGACCTCTCTACTGATTTATTATAAGTATAATATTAGGTCTACCAACATTGTTACATAACAACATGTACACTTTAATAGTATAATTTTGATTTAAACATGACTTATTTTATAAGTAGGTACCTCCTTACTTACTACAAATGCAAATTATGTTTCATTTACTAAAAGAATAAACGGTTACCATAGCTCAATCTGACACAAACAGTTGAGACGCCACAAAGGAGTATAGTTTCCTTTTATACTGTGTTTGGGAGTAGTGCACTGTGCAGGAGATCACTTTCGGTGGCACCAGTGGCCCCGTAGAACCTGTTATATTATGATAAAGCAGTATTTTTATGACACGACCCCGCAGTCCTTGATTTGTCAATAGGCCGTATAGGCCGCGGCGTAGGGGCGGCAGATTTCAGATGACGCTTACTCGATTTCAGAAGATAAAAGTTAAATAAAGATCCAACCCCACCCTAGCCTACGGGCGGCAAATCTGTAAATCCGCCACTGCGACCCCCCTGGTATAAAAAATTTTTGCAACCCCCCGACCGCTGGCTTTTTTTTCATACATTTTATAATGTTACAAAGATGCTGATGCTGATGTTATTTCAAGCAACCGAATATTTCAATCCATACATTTCTGCATTTACATAATTGAATTTCGGATAAACCTATCTTCATAACTTTACTATTTATTTTTACTGTGGTAAATTTTACGACCTCTCGCGACCGCTATAGAGGTTGAAAAACACTGTTATAGAGAATAGATTTCGTTCGTTTCAGCCAAATGACATCCACTGCTGAATAAAGGCCTCTCTCAATGATTTCCATAACGACGCAAAGGCCTACCCACGCTACTGCCACTTAATTTTAACAATTTTGCGGGCTATATCGGTCGACTAAGAAAAGATTTAGCTTGTAACGCTAGCTGAATGCAACAATGTATAACGAACATGCTTTAGATAGCTTGCGCGACGTAAATACGCGATACGTAACGACGCGATGTAAATTACGACCCCACACACTTTCCATGAGACACAGATTACCGATTTTTCATGCACATTGTACTTTGTAACTATTGTTACATGAAGCAAGTCGACGCATTTTTAATGCGACGGAACCGTTATTTACCGATTATTTAAATTATATTTCTCCATACATCATTGTCGTCATTTTAGTTAATTTTTTTCCAATGTTTAGTCACGTTAACTCTTGTTCTCCCCGNATGTTCTCCAGCTGAAGCGCTACAGCTCGCTGATCGGCATCAGCGCGCTGGAGGCGTCGCCGGCGCTGGTGCCGGGCTCTGCGGAGCGCGACGCCGCCGACACGGCCGCGGCCATGGCCACGCTGTCCATGACGTCCATGGCGCAGCCGCGCGCCGAGCCCATGGACCAGGACGACAAGTGATTCCAGCCACATTCCACCGCCGCGCCGGCCGCGCCCGCGAGGCGGACCCTGCGTGGTAAAATTAAGACAAATCTTAATTTGAGAGCTTTAAAATGTAGTAAAATATTTTATGTGTACAAATATGTTGTTGTTGTGCGTCCGAGCGAGCGCCCGGCCCGCTCCGAACCAAAGATTGCCCCCGGGGCGGCCCCGGCCTCGGACCGCGGACCCGCCGCGTCGCTGTCCGTTGAACTTTTCTTGTGGTACTTTCGAGATGTACGCTCACTGTTGAACAGGTGCTCTCTTTCGGTCGCACAAACGTCCGGAAACCGTTTCCGGATCGGATGATTTCTGTTGAATGTTTCGTGCGCGAGCATTTTGTGAACGACGTGCCAACCGTTCGCCGGTGGCGGCGTCGTCTTATGATATTAGCGGATGTCTCGTGATGTATGTTGTTGTCGACTGAGTCGTCGAAGTGCAATAGGCGGGGCGCCCCGCCGCGGGGCCCTCGCCGATATATTTTTGTAAGATGGCTGTCTGTGTGCGTGCGGGGCGACCCTTGTACGATAAACAGAGTTAAAACAAATGTTGTGTCTTTGAAAATTTTATTGTTAAATTGGATACAGATGAAATAATTATTTAATAAATGTATATATATTATATATATATTTGGAAATATATCTGCGAAATTATTTTAATGCCTTTTTCATTACTCACACTCCCGTCGATGGGCGGTCACGTCTCCGCTGCCGGTAAGATTATTGCGAACAACATTCAGATGTAGATAATTTTACTTTTAAACTGTAAGAATAACAAACAATATTTACGAACTTACTTTATTTATTTATTACTTGCATTAAAATTACTCATTATACAAAAATAACATTTACTTATCGCCTAGTATGGATAAAAAAATAATCTTATATCTATACAGTACATTTTCGCCAACGGCTTTAAAACTTAACTTTTGCACCACATACAAAAATATACAATCATTTATATCTCTATTTCTAAATTCTTCCTCTGGCAAACAAAAGTGAGCAAATTAATAAAAAAGTACAGTCAGTTTACATTATTTCAACAACTTCAATTATGAGGCTCAATAATAAAAGGTGGTACACTCAAAACAGAAATGACTAGAATATCGGTAGTCAAATATAAAACCAAGCTTCATATCATTTGCTATTTTGGTATTCACAATAACATTAAGATATAAAATTAGAAGTAACTAGCATTTTAAAATAAATCTTAGCACCAAGTAAATGCCGATTTAATTGACCCTTATGTACATCGTGATAGTGACTTAGTTTATTTATTTACTAGCGAAACAATATATTCTTATTATTTACACATTTAAAACATTCTTCTCTTGGCAGTTCTTATACACCATTACCCAAACTAAAATAAGGCCTCTCTTTTTCTCTTTAGTGAATGAAGAAAATTGTTCACCTAAAAGTAAAGAACTGAAAAGTTGCCGAGAAATGGTTTATATCAAGTCATAATTTAGTTTAAAGAATTGCACAATGGCATCGTTTACGTCTACGTGGAGGCAGAAATGCAGTAAGGATAAGTGGTAAGTGTATAGTTGACTTGACTGTAGGAGTATTGAGTAGCTAGCTATGTACTGAGTACAGTAGATTAGTTTTTAATTAAATTAGTTTTGTAGCTGTAACTATTGTTCTCAAAAAACATACACACACACAAACACTTGTAGCATGTAGTGGTCTATAATGTAGCAACAGTCCTTTCAATCACACGTAACAAGTCTTTATCATTACATCTATACATTACATTTCGCATATGAATGGTTGTTTGGTTCCGAGATAATATAAAAACTTACCTAATCATCGACTTGAGAATTGGGGACGTAAATGTCCTAATCTAGCATAAACTCATGGTGAAGGGCTAAGCGATTATGCCCCACCTGGGGCAAGTTGTGCCAAATGAACCACACTGCGAATATAGATCGTTTCATCTACGAAGATGCGCTTCACCAATGTTTGGTCAAGGGAAGCGCGGTGTACGGGGAGTTTGATCCTAGCAATCCGAGCGTCTTTATTTATTTATTTATTTATTTAATAACAATCTTAGCTCTAACATTACAGGTTACCCCAATGCGATAGAGTAGATTAATTAGTACATATTTCACAATTAAGATTGCCGCTATGGCTATAACATAAAATAAATAACCTTTGTGAATTCAGTCAAAGAACAGCTGAATATGTCAACGGTTCGTCAACGTTTATAGTAGTGTGCATGTGCACTCATGGATGATTTAGCGTGTACCGATAACACTCAAACATTAGCGGAAATGGTGGGGCGCGACTTCGTGGATGAAACGATCTACATATTATTATAGCTGAAGGCCCGTCGACTGTAACTGGACAAACGTGGTTGTGTTGAGGTGTTACGGTCCTTAGCCGTTCGCGTGCATTGCGCGCTAGGGGCAGTCAGGCGGGTCCAGCGTGCTACAGTGGCACGTGCACGAGCTCACCGGGCACTCCGTGTGCTCCCTGGGGACACAACATATTATTGATTACGTTATTATAAGATTGATTCTTAGGTCAATATAATGAGGGTTTTCGCGTATAAAAAATTCGCTAGATGGCAACACGCAGACGTGAGGTCCAAATGCTGCATGATTGGTTATTTTTAACATGACATTGACAGATATCTCAAAATCCACCAATCACGCAGCAGCCAGACCTCATATCCACGTCCCGCCATCTAGCGGATTTTTCATACGCGAAAACTCATTAAATGACACCATTGAAGAAAATTCAAGACAGTCAAATGTTAATGTACAAAAATGCTTACAGGGCTAATCTGAAACGTTTACGCAGTTTCAGGTCTATCTGTCAGCGCAATCTCGTTTTGCGTGAGAGGGATGGCAAGATTCGAAACTATAGATAACGTTTTTCGGAGTAACTCCGCTGTAAGCACGATATAAAATATTTCTGAAGTAAAGGTCTAATAGTCAGTTTAGTAAGGCAATCGAGTCGCCTTTGTGCACGATTTGTAGTTTATCTTCCTACTACAACCATGCCAGATCCCCACAGAAAGTAAGCAGCCTCTACAGGGTTTTTGCAGCCATACTGGTGATTGGAAGTTCTAATGTTATCGCGAACGTCAAATAGTTCAGCTAAAATAAAGGAACACAAAACCTAGAAAGACAGATCTTAAGACCGCTTTCACATTAGGGCGTTAGAAGCGCGACAGCAGCGTGGCGGCGGCGTTTTTATAATGTGAAGAGATTCGCTGTCCTATATACTTACGAGCAAAAGTATGGAATCACCCCTTTGTGTTCCGAGCGGTCTTAAGAACTGAATGACTATGTATTGTATGTATCTATGGTATCAATTTAAAGTTTATAATATCACTTTTAAAATGGTACCATTTTTATTGATCTTCTATTATAGTCATTTAGTTCTTATGATCGCTCGGAATAAATAGGGTGATTCCATATTTTTGCTCGCGAGTGTAGTATGAAATTACCGGCAGCGCGTCTGTCGCGCGTTTGTCACAACTGCTAAGTCGGTTAGCTGTACTGAGCTTCACTCACTTGAACCACTCGAGCAGATGCGCGGCGTGGCCGCCGTGGCGACAGGCCACGCACCAGCTGAACCAGCCGCCGAACTGGCCGCCGCCCGCGCCCGCGCCCGGCGCCGCGCCGCCCAGGTGCAGCGAGCACACGCCGCAGCGCGGCAGCGGCTTGCGGCAGTTGGGGCACGACGAGATTTGCTGGGGGAGTGATAAAGTTCAGAACGAAGCAACTGTAAATAGGTGCAGACCAGCGATTTTTAGTTGGCCGATAGTTGGGCCCGATTTTAATTTGTATGAAGAATCAGTCAATAGCAAATCGGTGTATAGATGACCCACGCTGAACTGTCCCACCAAACTCAATGACAGGGGGGCACTACCATCGTTCAACTATATGGTTTCCAACATGGCCAAAATCGGAACCAGCGATCCGGTATTGACGGTGGCGCCCCACTGTCAATGTCATAGATAGGACAGTTCAGTATTTTGGAACTATAATGTGCGCACTTTCATACATTTCCATACTGATTAACAGCCCGATCAAACTATCGGCCAACTAAAAATCGGTGGTCTGCACCTAGGCTAAATGTCGGGCTGATAACAATGAATTTCTGTAGGACTATAATGCGCGCCTTGATTAACTGGCATACATGCATTTTATAGATTTTGTAGTCCATAGCACAAAGCCAAGTAATAGCAATTTTCAATAGTAAGTAAAAAGAGTAGTAGTAGCCTTAGCTAAATTACCGAATACAGTGTAGTTGTAAATCAAAGCATAATTATTGAAGATTCAGTAATATTAGAATTAGGAAACGTCGGAATAACTTTCATAAGAGGAAGTGAAAAGTAATGATTCGAATCCTGTATTCTAAACACTAGCGTAGAAAAAGTAGATTGTAGAGTTTAGGATAGATAGATAGATAGATAATAGGTTTATTTGCAAAACACACAATAAGCAAAAAAGTTTAAAAAGAGTAACAAACAGACATTATAAGCAATAAAAGAAAATCCTGCGCTAAGCTGTAAAGCGTGCCGCAGCGATGCAGCAAGCAAGAAAAAGCAGAGAGCTCTGCGTAAACACTGTTCTAAAAACATGCAGAACACTTATTTTCAATTTAGTATTGAAAAATGAAAAAAAAAAACAAATGCAAATAAATGTGAGTACCTTCATCTTGGCGGCGGGCGGCGGCAGACGCGCGAACGCAGGACGCGCGGCGGGTCGGGCGTGCGGCGCGGCCACCGACTTGCCGCAGTAGGAGCAGGCCACGGCCACGCGGCGGCCGCCCGCCTCGCCCGCGCACGTGTCCAGCGCCGAGCGCGCCCACCACAGCCGCCAGCCGTCCAACAGCAGCCGGTACGCACCCAGCCAGCCCGCCGCGTACCTGTGACAACGGTAGCGGTTAAGGAAAGATAAGAACTCCCTTAAACTATAGACACGGTAATAATATCATACAGTATTGTAACTTCATATAAACCGACGAAACTCGAGCTTTCCTTCGAATTTCAAATCTCTGGATGCGGTGGAGATGAAAAAATTAGGGGTGTCGCGAATTTGCCGAACGGACGTCGATGGCCTAGTGTTGAAAATGACTAAGGTGATTGAATTTGACTGACCGTCATTTACGGTAAAATTTGTCAAAAACTAGTCATTAACTGTCAGAAATGGTCATTTTCAGTTAGTTTGATTTGAAATGAAAATTATATATTGTATAAAACCAGCTTTTGCCAACGATTTCGCCCGCCTGAAATTAAAGTAACATGTCATTAAATACTCATTATGATTAGTAGATTCAAAATTATTTTAGTATATTTTTTAAAATTAAATCTACTAATCACAAAACAACACGCATTTTTATCCTATTCCATTCACAAAGTATTTTATTTGTCTAAATAAAAAAAATGTAATTAGAATGGGTACTGTAGGTGAGCAGCCCTATCGTATGTTGTCATACCGTGACGTACCGCGGGGCTGTTGACATTTATTTCAAAAATATGGCCGAGTTGGAATACTGTATAGATAGTATTACCACAAAATATAACAGAAGATAAACTCCATACTAAGCGCGCTCGAGCCACGCACACATAGACACCGCTCACGTACGCGTTATTAAGACTGTCTTGGACGAATGCGAGGCGCGACTGCGTTCGCTTGAGTGACGCTGCTCACGCGTTTGTGAAATTATTTTATTTGTGCGAAAATGAGTGAACAACAAAAAAGGGGTATTATAACATTTAATTTTGTTAAGTAGATTGTTGCTTACACTCAACATTAAAAACTAAATTTTCGTTTTTTAAACTACCAGTTGATTCCAGGAGGTAAGTAAGGTATTTATTTGTATTTCAATAGCTCGTTTAACGTTGACAAATTGAAATCCAACTCAATTATTAGGAATATCGAAGTGTTTTAAAGAGGTTTTAAGAAGTATTGGATAATAGTGTCAACCACCCAACTACATACTACGTGATACTACTTCCTTCTCGTGTATTTGTTTGCAAACTATTACTATAATAATAACGTACTAAACATAACTACATAATAATATAAATATAATGTGGATATCTGTTATTGTCTTTCTTCCATAGTATTAAGAGTTACATTTTTCTATCATAACGAAATAAACGCAACACATGACAAGACAACCCTAGCGCGACGGCCGAGCGCAGGCTCGTGAAGCGAAGTACATACATGAGTTTACCTTCTGTTATATTTTGTGGTATTACCGTGCTATAGACTGAGTTTGTTCCGGCGTTTCTTCTCAGCACTTGCCATATGTTTGTCTCGAAGCGCTGGTAGGGCCCAAAAGATAAGGATACATGTGAAGTGCCCCATAAGGACTACCTTTTCTTTTTTTATATTTAAATTTTGACGTTCATAAGTGCCACTTGTGGTCTAAACTGAATAAATATTTTTGATTTTGATTTTATAAACTTTTTAGTTGACCGATAGTTTGGTCGGCCTTCCAACTTGTATGAGGGCCCTCGCCCACGGCAACTTTTTGCGCTAATGTTACGCGCTACGCGACTGCGCGTTAGTAGCGCATTGGCATCACTTCTGTTCTGTAGTGCGTTGCAAATGCGACTTACGTGCGTTAGTAACGATGTTTGGTAAACGCGCCACAAAAAGTCTGCGTGGGCGAGGGCCCGAGGACAAAAAGGCTGTGCGGGATATCATACAATCTGAATATAATAGTTCGGCACAATTTTTATTAGATTTCGTTCAACCAAGGAACCTTTCCCAAGCATTTCGATGACGATCGGTCGTGCTTTTTCCCGCATTCAGGTGCTGCCTGAGACCTTCCTGAAACTAGATAGCCGCTACGCTGAGTGCAAGGCTCGAATCTATTACGAATAGGTCTTTCAATTTGTGGCCATTCTTGAATGTTTTTGCTCCAACAACTATAACTTTACGAGACGGTGTTTTGCCAACTAAGTCAAAGTAATAGACCTATTTGTCAAAAAATATCTTGCTCTTCTAACCACATTAAGGGCGATAACATGTACCTCTCGCGGGGGTCCGCGGCGGCGTCGGCGCGCAGCAGCTCGGGCGGCAGGCAGCGCGCCGCCACCAGCGCCGCCGACTGCACGTCGCCCGTGCGCTCCACCCAGCGCTGCAGCAGCGCCACGCCTTCTAGGCTCGCGCCTGCAACGACAACGGCGATGAGAACGTACTGCTGAACGTGACGATGAGATGCAAAGACGTGTCACGAAACAACACGTCAGACAAATATAAATTCGCCTTAATACAAGAAAATATTGTGCAATACAAAGTACCTAGACACATAAATTACACTTATGATGTACAGGCGGAAGGCAATGGTTGTAACGAGAATAACAATAAGAAATACTCTTTATTTTACACCAAAGAACAGAACAGAAAAAAGAAACACAAGGATAGGTATAACTAGGCGGTCTTATCGAGAATGTACTGTTGCTAAAAGAAACGAATATATTGGAAGAATTCACTGGAGACCCAGTGCTGAGATGAGACGCAGAGATGCGTCACGACACAACACAATAGACAAGTATAAATCCGCCTTAATTCAAGAAAATATTGTGCAATACAATGTTGGCAGATAAACTACTAAAATCAAGTGGCAGTGGGCGGGGCACATAGCTCATAGTAGAGACGATGACCGTTGGGGCAGGAAAGTTCTGGCCTCTTACTAGATGGACGACGATCTGGTAAAGGTCGCGGGAAGAGCCTGGATGCGGGCAGCGCAGGATCGTTCATTATAGAAAACCTCTGAAAAGCAGTGGACGTCATTTGGCTGAAACGACGACGACATAAACTGAAATAGATGTCTCACCGGTGAGCAGGATTCCGGACAGGTCGCCCGCCTCCACCAGCTCATCAGTCGTGCGGCGGATATAGTCGTGCAGCTTAGCATCGGATAAGTACACGCAGGCGAAGGCCACGCGGTCTTCCAGCCGCATCTCAGTCTCTGCCAACACGGCGTCGAGCTCAGCCGAGGGGGCGGGCGGCGCGGAGGGCGGCGCGGGCGCGGCCGGCGCGGACGCCGCCAGGAACAGCAGCAGCGCGCGCAGGTACGCGTCTGGTAGCGCCGGCGCCGCCGCCGCTAATGCATCGCGCCATAAACGCTCGTCGCTTAGACCAGCCAACGCGAGCGCCACTACCCTGTGATTCGAAAAGACGGCTCAGTCATCAAAATGATAACTTCTCAAAATGACAACCGGGATGCGGAATGTCCACTTCTCGAAATTACAACTTCTTAAAATGTCAACTTCGCTAAAAGACAACTTCTCGTAATAATATTGTCTATTTCGGATATTTCGATTATTTGTGGACATTTTGCGTTCCGGTTGTCATTTTGAGAAGTTGTCATTTTGATGACGGCCCGGTTTTTTTATTCGTAGTTATAATAACCAATAGTCAAATTTGACAGATGTCAAATGACAAGTGGTTAAATATCAGAAAAAAATGTTTTTCGAACAATGGTTAGCTTGACTTTTAGTACATTTTTTAACTATCAGTTAACATTTTATTAATACTTAACCATTAGTAGCAAAATTTAACAATTTGTTATTTTAACCATGAATCAAAAAACTGGGCCTAAGCCGAAAAGACAGTGTTAGTTACGAGGCTGACAGGCACGCACCAAACTGGAAAGACTTGCAGCTCCAGAAGAATGTCATGCGACATGACACACAGACGAAGAATAAAAATTTCCATTTGAAGTAGTCAAGAAGTGTGGCGTGACAACGTGCAACCTGCCACAGGCTTACAATACCATAGTCGTCTGTTTAGATTCGGCCAGATCGAATTGGTTGATCAGGATATGATAGATAAATTACTTTTTTGATTTGATTTGGACCTTAGACAATGAGGGCTATCGTTTTAGCGCTCACCAGTTAGCGCCACTGTAGAGTAAGGTCCTGTCACTTGCTAGTAGCGAAGACAGTGGCACCAACTGGTGAGCGCTAAAGTGGTAGGAGGACTATCGCATTTGCACTCATCAAGATGGCGCCACTGTAGAGTAAGATCCTGTCAATCGCCAGGGGTGCCAACTGTTAAGTATAAAAACGATAGCCCTCATTGCCACCCCGGCGGGGTCACTGACCTGAGCTGCGGCTCGCGCGCGCGCGCCAGCACGTCGAGCGCGTGGCGCAGGCGCAGGTGGAAGGCGGCGAGCGCGGCGGCGCGGCAGGGCGTGCCCGCCGCCTCCGCGCGCTCCACGCCGGCCGCCGCGTTCTCCCAGCCCCAGCCCCAGCCGCACAGAGAAAGAGCGCGCGTACGCTCGCTACTCCTGCAAACCACGAGAATAATATTCATTATCGGAGACCAAACAGTACATGAAAAAAAACAGACAGACATGACGAATCTATAAGGGTTCCGTTTTTTGCCATTTGGCTACGAAACCCTAAAAAGAGACAACAAAAGACGCTATAAAGCGATTTTCCAAACGACCTAGGGAGAAAACAGAATGTTGTTTCTGCAACTGCAGCTTATAAACATGAATACACCTCCACCAACGTGTCGAAGAAGCAACACAACTAAAAAGAGGCTTCCTGTATAAGTCCCAGTTCATTCAGCCGTGCCAATCCTTATTGGTCCTTCGAGCCGGATTCGAGGAAACTTGAAATATGTATTTGCTGCAAGAAAGCCTTTTCTACCACAGAGCAAGCTGTACCGACCTGTAGACAGTTTGACGTCGATGCGGCAGGTCGGGCAGCAGGCAGGGCGAGGCCTCGGAGCGGTAGCCGCCCTCACCAGCCGCGCGCAGCACTGTGCGCACGCCCGGGTGCTTCCACGGACTGTTGCGTATGCACCCTGGGGAACGTTACACTGGTTGACGACAGGTAAAAATGGATTTAATTATAACATAAGAGTCTTGCCACACTGACGGAGACGTTCGCGCGGCGAACACGCGGCGAAAACGTTGCGCAGCCGCAACGTGTTCGCGTCGCTTTGAAAACGCTTAAGCAGGGTACTCATCTAGCCGTGTATGTATCAGATACTGTATCAAGTGAGTTGCGAGCTGCTCGCGCGTGGTTCGCAGGGAGATCGCAGCGACCCGCCGAGTGGTGGTATCACTGCGAGCATAAAGGAGGCTCGCAGTAGGATTCAGGAGCTCGCAGCCAGATACGCGATGACCGTGGCAAGCCGTACTTACTTGAAGGTTGGTTACGTTACATGCTACGTTACGTGCTACATGGCAGGTGAGTACCCTGCATTACAATCCGCCAGTATAGCAGTTCACTATAGAACAACTTACACGTCTTCGACTAAACGAGACGACGGCCAAAAATGGGCTTTTACAACATACCATAAGGAACAAATTACAATGAACATCTGGCACATGAGTGGTTAACTTACCATCTTCGACTAGAGATTTGCTGAGCGCCAAGAAATGCCAGAGTCCACTCAATGCTTCGTCGTCAGCCAGGTCAGCGTTTTGCCATAAATCAGGCTGTAACACAAAAACATGAAATAACAGCATACAAGAGAAAGAAAAGACACTTTTAACTGTCAGAAAGTTGCTTCAGTGAGTTTTGTCGTAATATCATTTGAAGAAGGATAAGTCCAATCCCTTGTTGATGAAAGCTGAAAACAAAGACGATTTAAGACTATAATAGTCCGGTCCCTGAGAACGTAGAATTTTGTCCAATGACCCCAAGCTACCCATCCTTATCGTTCGCGCGTAATTATATTGCACAGTCGCGACAGCAATATAATTACACGCGAGCGATAAGGATAGGTAGTTTGGGGTCATTGGACAAAATTCTACATGCTCCGCGACCAGACTTTACTAGCATACCTTGAGGCCATAATCGGTCTGCGCGCGCCGGCGCATAGTGTAGGAGATGTCGTGCAGGTCGCGCTGCTGTGCGTCGGGCAGGAAGCGCAGGCGCCCGCCGCCGCCCGCCCACACCAGCCCGCCGCCGCCCCACGCCACCGTCACGCGCTCGCACACCGTGTAGTCGCACACGCCGCCTGCGCAGTACAGAGCCCCGATTACAGTAATTTTTAACGTCTCCAATGCAGACGCGCTTCATCGATTCTGCGATACGATTGGTCAAAACACAAAAAAAAACAGCGTACGTCAGCTGTTTTGACCAATCGTATCGCAAAATCGATGAAGCGCGTCTGGATTGGAGACGTTAAAAATTACCGTAATCAGGGCTCAGGGGGCGTAGTCAGAGTTTACATCAAACGTCGTCACTAAACGTAAAAAAATGACATTTAAATGTATGACGGATTGTACAGCGCCCCTAGCGGAAACTTTGACGCAGGAAGATTTAATGAAGGCTACTGACAACGCCACTCTTGTAGCGGAGTTTTGGGCTAACGCTGTGTAGGTCTGTTATCGACACGACTAGAAGAAGTGGAAACTTTCAAAAACTAAAAATTCATTTTTTTTTAATGCGCTCACTAGTGAGGAGGACTTTTGATGTAAACTCACACTAAGCCCTCAGGGATGCGAAGAGCAACTTAAAAATGGGAAGTGAATTTTATTTTATTGGAATGAATGCGAGAAACAAGAAACGCAGCAAGAATAAAGGGGCGCCACCGCGCAACGTAAACATGAGCTCCGCGATAATTAAAATCGTAAAAATAGTAAATCAGTGAAAATTACTAAAANTTAAGAAAAAGAGTTTAAGTCAAATCCGTCTCATTAATGGTCAACAACAAGGACCGACCTATCTTTCGCAGTGATTAAATAATCTCTGGGTGTTGCTTAAGATAGTAATTCATGCTTCCAAAATCTTAGAAATTCGCACGAAAATGTAAAATGGCTCTTAAATTAACAAATAGTCAAATTTGACAGATGTCAAATGACAAGTGGTCAAATATCAGAAAAAAATGTTTTTCGAACAATGGTTAGCTTGACTTTTAGTACATTTTTTAACTATTAGTTAACATTTTGTTAATATTTAACCATTAGTTGCAAAATTTAACAATTAGTTAATTTAACTATGAATCAAAAAACTGGGCCTTAGTTATTTTTTTTTGTGTATGTCTTTGTTTATTTCAATTAAATTTAACAATAATGTCAAAAAGCTATAAACATATTTCTGATAATTAATGTGAAACCAATTTAAAGAGTATTTCACTTAATTACTTAGTAATGTACAAATTCTAGATATAATACTTTTTAATAGATATTTTGTTTCGTAAATGAACTACCTAGGTAATGTACCTACGAGAGATTGTGGTCAAAACCAAACTTTATGGAATTTAATAATTTTACTTAAAATTGTATGATACGAGTAAATTATGTTGAAATCTAAACTCTGAAAATGTAATAAACATAACACGAAATGTCCATTGCAGTAACGGTACCTAAGGGGATAAGATACTAATTTGTTTTACTTATGTTGTTTTTAAAATTATGTTGATATCAAATTTAAAGTCTTGATGAAAAATAGGTTTCGCAAAGCTTTATTTTGTTTAGTACTAGCACAATTAAGAACTTTTATAATCACAAAGTTAGTAAAATTACATCTCGACGACCACCAAATTACGTGGCTGACATAAAATTAAGTTAGTTCAATTAAACTTAATACTTTGACATCATTAAAACTGACAATATAATTAAATAGCTCCGGGCAATTTATAGTTAAACTTATAATCAGATTTTGTTGCGTTATTTTAATGCCAAAAACAAAAACAAAAATTAGACAATTTTAAATTTTGTGCAACAGTTTTTGTTCCCTCGGGCTACAATTTGATCCACTAACTTCGCACTTAGTTAATTTTAAATTATGTCAAAGTTGAACACAGAACTAAATAATTTTAAACACCTACTTAATTTGCTAGCTAAAGTTTGTAGGCGACTTCACACAGTAGCAGCAGACGACTTGTCGACGCGACGCATGGTTTCTACGTATTTCTATGAAATATCTTCAGGCAATAGTTCGTTAACTACGGATTCATAGAAATACAAGGAAATCAGTACATGTGTCGTGATGGCACGTGTACTGTTTATTCTGCGTGGAGAATCATACCTTTAGGGTGCTCCCTCACCGGAGCATTCGCGTGTAAGGTAACGTTATAGATTCGAGCATTACACCAGTGAGGGAGAAAAACCGACAACTACAGCGCGCACCTTTTAATGATACAAAACGAGTATACATCAGTAAAGGACCGAGCATCACCTATAATGCGCACCTTTT